ACAAAAAATATAAAAACGCATTTGGATATTAAGAAAATGATGGATCAATGAAAAAGTGTATGGAACAAAACAGCTTTGCATAAATACTTACGCAAAAGTTGACAGAATATGGTTTCATAATGAAGAAGAAGCAATTTTTCAGGGTAGATGTGTTGTCACCAGAAAGAATTTCCAATCCAGACGAACAAAATTGAAAAACCCTCAAATAACCTTCGGGACATAAATCAAATGTACGATGGTGTTTGGACGAATTCTAGCAATTTCAAAAAATTTATCTAATGTTGGTCCGTAAAGTTGAGTACGGCCATCTTCGCAAATGTGCATGTCCACAAAATGATTCTCGTTATTAGACCATTTGATTATCAGCTGCTTGTCAATGTGTTTTCCCTCCAAGACTTTGAACAAACCAGAATTCAAAACCTGATATATAGATATAGTAACTTTTTAAATAAATTCTATAAGGTAAATTTCATTAAAGAATATCATCACAATAATGTAAACAAAAGAAAATGTGTATATATATATATATATACATATATACAACAAAATAGAAAAACTTACTAATCCAATCTCACGATAAGATGTCAGAATCGTTAAGATTTGACTATACCCCTTCATCACTGAGATTGAAAAACAAACGAAAAAGAGAATGCATATACGTTCTGAGAAAAGATATAAATAACAAAAACTCCAATGAGTTTACACCTTGCAACGAACCTATTATATAGTACCCTACATGTTTATTTTCACGTTTTTTTGAATTATTTTTTCACCAGCAACTTATTTATCTGTATACATATTTTGATTTTAAGAGATAAATTAAATATTTATCTTTTAAAATTTTTATTATAGATTGTATTATCGACAATCCATAAAATGACTATATGATTATAAATTTCACAACGGCTTGTATTATCAATAGTTTAAATCCTAATTTATTAACTTATTTTTTTTAAACGACCTTTCACTAATTTTAGTATATATCAATAAATATTTATTTAAAATTTAAATCGATAATAGATAATATTTCCATGTTTTGAAACAACTAAATATTTAATCTGATAAATGGTGTGTTCAAAATATAATCATAACAAATATTCGCTCTTATTTCATTTCATTAGGATGATATTATACTTATGTAAATAAAAAAAAAAAAACAGGGGATAATGCTCACAAATATCAAATATTATATATTTAAAAAGTTTTAACTCCTTTGAACCATTATCTTAATCAAATTAATTCCTTTTAACAAATTTTTATAATTTTAAATAGATACCTTATAAAGATTCATCACAAGAAAAAAATAAAATGAAACAAATTGTAAAAATTATTGATAAATTTGGAAAAAAAATGCAACAAAAAAATAATAGTAACTATTACAAAAAGGGAAGATGGTTGGTGGGTTGTCGAAACCCCCAAAATAATTTACCAACTTAAACTGTAGATAGGATAAGTCAGGTCGATCCCACAGGGACGGTTAAACTTCAAATAACCGGAACACAAAATTGGACAAACAAGAAAGAAAGTTGCAGAGTGTCACTCACTTGCACGAGTGGGTTAAGTCACTCAGGCAAGTGACTCTGCAGAACTAAAGACAAAGAAAGACAAATGGAACCTCACTCACGGAAGTGAGAATTCCGACTCAAGGGACTGACTCAACAAACTGGATATTCATTCTCTTTTCCCTATGTAATCAAGTTGTAATCTTGCACTCTTTTGGTATGAATTCATGCTCATTCAGACACTTATATATCTCTAAGTCACTTCCGATTTTTCCTAGAGGTATCTTTATCAACTCAATTAAACTATTTTCCAATGATTAATCAAGTCATAAAGTCATGAAGTTTTCAAGCCTTATATGAATGCTTATGCTAACCAAGTATATTCCTATCTCAATTAGAACCTTGGACTGTTACCTCCAAGTCATAAATTGAAGCTAAACGATTCTGAACCTTGTTTACCCTTCCGGGATTCACTTAGTTCTATGCACAATCAATCAAATGGCCAATTTAATCAAGAGGTAGATGAAAGCTTTAACTTCAAAACACAAAATCATCCGAATGCAATCACAAACTTAAACTACATAGGTTCCAGAGAATGAAATCTAATTAACTACACATACAAACTACAGAAAATACAAGAAAAGAAGGAAAGCATTGAGAAGAAGCAAATCTGGATGGCTGAGCAACATGTCACTCGCCTGAGTGACAAGTCACTCAGGCGAGTGAGGTCTGTTACTCCTCTTTTTCTGCTACTGGACTTCTTCTTCCTTTGGAGTTTTCTCCCCTCTCTGCTCTCTTCTTCTCTCTCTGTTGTGTTTTGTGTGTTGTATGTCCACTCAGATGTGTGTTCATGCTGGGAATGCAGCTCCTTTTATAGAGCTTTGAAGCCGGTTCTTCTTCCAAGATAGCCTCCCCATGCTTGTGAATTATTTATTCCTCCCAATGCTTTGTGTCTTGAATCCGAGAATTGATTGGTCTCTTGCCCTTCTCCAGCATTGGTATCAGCTGTAACATTGATCATCATGGGCGGTTGGGAGTCTAACCAAGGGGACAAGCATGCCCTTGGATGGGACACACTTATTAACTCCCAATGTGTCTTGTGTCTTGGAGTTGCTTTTTGACCAACTCAGCCCTCATTTTAAATTGGAATCAGCAGCCCAATTATTTCTCCATAAGCCCCCATTTTCAGCATTTGTTCACTCCGGTCCTCACCTATTTAGAAACACAAAACTAGCTATGTAAAATGAACAAAATCTAAGAAACACCCCCAATTTCTAACTAATTAAAGAGCAAAATTGCAATGCTTTTATCTAACAATTTAACCGTTATCAATGGTCATGAGTAAGTGTTGAGTGTTTGGATGTAATATAAGAATAACAATAAACTAAATAAGTATCAAGGCCCGGAAAAAATCATAAAAATGCAATAAGGACCTAATGATAACATGCCCAAATTCGCACACTGATCCAAAATACATTTTAAAATACAAAATACATTTTAACAAACAAAATAAAAAGTTGTAACACCATATTTACACTAATAAATACTAATCAACGACCATCAATAATCTTCATTGTCACTTGAAGACCGCATCATCATCTGAAGAGCCACCCAAACTATAAATATTAAAACCAAATTTGTCGAAAATAGTTGCCTGAAAAGTACACCCATGAACATAAGTAAGCAGCAAGTACGTTCTCCTTTGTATAGTTCATAGTATCTCACAAATTCAGTCCATGTTTTTTTTCCAAAAAACCCCAAATATCTTCATGAGAGTACCGCTCAAATTCCAGAATTTTGATCCTCTAACTCAACAAAGACAATCTTTGTTTCAGGGAACTCAATTGCATTCAAAAAAACATCAGGAAGTACCTGAAAATAATTATGAGAAATTAACTCACATTAAATAATCATCCGGGTGTATAGCTAAATTCTATATATATATACATATATATATATACTTAACATTTACACGTACTTTAATCTTCAATATAAATAGAGAAAAACTATATCATTATACACCTTTAACGACTATGTGAAATAATCCAATCCAAACTAAATACATGCAATAGATCATATTATACAAGGCTACCCTATTCTTGTTTTACACAATTAAAACAATTATTAAAATTGGAGAAAAGGAAACTTACAGTCAATCGACAAAAGAGATCATTACAATTCATGGTTACAATGGTGTACAAACTGACTAGATTGAAAGGAGACATTTGCATAACTTTTTGAAATCCATAACTGCCAAAGAAGTTGCATACATGACATAACCATCATAAAATTCCAATTGCATTCTACTCCCTCGTGTATTCGCATACTTAGGGTAAAATCAACAACATTGTCACCACTGAGAAGAACTTTTTTTTCAAGTACACTAAGTTGAACTTTAAATTCTCCAACGTCAGTTCGAATCTTAAGATACTGAGGAATTGGTTCTTTGAAATATTCACGCACTGCACTCGGGAGTCTCTAAAATTCACAAGACAAAATACATGATATAAATATTTTTTTTTAAAAAAAATGAATTTATCATGCATTATAAATTAATCTATGTCTTACCAAGAAATGACCATCAAAATCTTCTGGAAGTGTAAACATCATTTCGAATAAAAAAGACATATTTATGTATTCTGCAACAAAAAAACATAAAAAAAACGGAAACATAGCGATAAATGAGCCTTAAGTACGAAACATAGGCGATCGCTAATGTAAGTATCAAAGATTTGTGCATAACTTAAGTCCTTCAATATTAATATTACATAGAATAATTTCATTTAAAAAAATGAAAGATCAATCAATATTATAAAGGAATAAAACTTGACAACATCATGAATCTAACACAAACAATGGAGTAAACTAACATCTCTGTTGAAAGCAGAATAAAGCTTTAGTTTAATTAAAAAAATAGAAAGATCAATCAATATTATAAAGGAATAAAACTTAAAAACGTCATTACACAAACAATGGAGCAAACTAACATCAATGTTGAAAGCAAAACAAAGATTAACCAAAAATGTGTTTTTGAAATATGAACAACAATTTCATGACAAGAAGAAAGATAGAGAGTGCAGTAAAATTAAAAAAAAAAGCGACGCGCCTTGTGTATATAATGAAGACTTCGGAGAGAAAAATCTTAGAGAAAATGAAGGAAGCACCGGAAACAATGGAGCTAGTTTTGGAGGAGTGATCGAAGTAAAAAAAAAAAAAAAGGGAGAGAGGAGAGAAGTAATTGTAAAGGTAGTAATTGTAAAAGTAAGTAATTAATGGAAAGAAATGATGTCTTTGAATTGATGTGATGTTGCGTGTGGATATATATACATATAATTTTTTTTTTTTGAGCAACAAACCACTTGTAAATATAGCAAAATTAATGTCTCCAATAACAACCATTGCATCTATCTATTAAATATCAAGACCATCACAAAATCTCCAACGGCAAAGGAGTAGTAGAAGGCAGCCCTACAATGCATTCTAAATTATGGATCTTCATCATGGTGGAGTCACATATTTCGCCTGAGATGTCTTGATGATATCCTCAATAGACTGGTCATATTCTGGAATTTCCGCCAAGATACGATCAGCGGACTCAAAATCTCCCAAAGATAGAAGTGCATTATACATCCTTAAAAGAGTCACAATGTTATAAGGAATACCAAGTGCCTTGTACTCATCCCAAATCAAAAGGCAGGCTTTCAAATCTCTGGCGCTAACACATGCAGCAAGTAAGAAGTCCATGCTCAACCTAGAGGCCTGACAGTAAATTCCTTTTTGATAGCTTCCAACAAATCCAATCCAAACTGCATTCTTGTCGGCTTACTCTCCGCAAAAATCGAAGAAAGACTTCAAAAAAGATATCCCGGCCAACACTATCATAAGGAATTCCTCGATGTACAACTTGTTTGAGCAAACTAACAATGGTGTTTAACTCCTTGAGACGAACACAACCAGCCAAAACCTTGTAACAACCATTGAGCCAAAAATTTGAATTTTCCAATCGCCGGAGTGTTACCAACCACAAATTTAGATCTCGAATGGACTCGGTCAAAGGAGATAAAACACAATGACAAATATAAGGATCTGGACCTGGGCTCATGCTCGTATTTGCTAACACTTCTCTGTAGAGAGCCACTGCATATTCCTTCTTTGCCCCTTTAGTGAAGTTAACAATGGTCTTGTACACATTCTCTTCCGTCAGATGCAACATCTTCAAAGAATGGAGGATCTTATGTATAGATTCTCCCCTTTCTAAAGGGATTCCTATCATCAACTCAAAAAAGGCTGGATCCAATTTCATCCCATGAGATAATATCACCTCAAAAAGCTTCCAAAACATACTATAATCACATGCTCCCTTACAACAATTCAGTAGATAATAATATGTCCTAAGAGATATCACCAATCCATCTGTCATAATGTCATTTGAAACTATAATGGCCCAAAACAAATCAGTCTTGTAGAAATACTTAATCAACCTATCATGGCTTGTAGGCCTCAGACCCAATCTCATATGCAGGTTCTTGAACATGGAATACACCACTTGCGCTTCCAAGTTTCTGTTGGCAGTTGTATAGTCAAAAATAAAATCAGAAATTTTATCCCTTCTGAAACCACTTCTCATTAATTTGAAAAACCACATCTCTGCAACAGAATCCAGCATTGGTTTTCCCAGATCTTTAAAAACCAAGGTTAAGTCAGAACACCAAGAAAGTTTACTGACATCAAAATCTTCCAATAGCTCCAAAAGCTCTTCCTTCTGATCATACTCACTCAATGCATACAAACAACTCTGTTTAAAGGAAAGCTGATATGCACTGTCACACAAATCAAGACTGTGGTAAAAAGCCTTTATCTTTTCATTATCTTTCAGCCTAATCAAAAGAAGCATCTCATAATAAGCCATGATTAGCCTCATACTTTTCTCTTTCATATGATCACTAAAAGCATAGAACTCTTTTTCCAGCCCAAAATCAATCAAATATTTTAAGAACGGACCATATACGTCCTCCTCAATCCTAACACCCATATCCTTCATGAATACAAAGATCTTGTTGGCCAGAACTACCTGATTTCGAGATGTTTCTTCATCTTTGCTTCTCTCAGCTGTTTCCAAGCAAATCCATACCAAATGACTGAATTCATCAACTCCAAAAATGGCCCACACTTTAATTGCTTTACCCAATCCAGTGAGAACCTCAATACTGGGATCAACACCAAACTTTTGCCCATGCCTGTTTACTTGTGGGTGGTAAAATCTTTTTGGGATTAGATCACTTGGCATAGGCATAGCATAAGAAGGACTAAATGGCTGCCATGAACAAGCTGTAGGCATGGTAGAAATAAGAGTCAATCAGAGACCATCCTCCTCCTTTGAAGGGGCAACAAAGGATCGCAAGGTATGGTCGAGAGAGACGAGATGAGTGGCTTTGCGCCTGGCTTCACGTCTCAATGCCACCGCCATCGCCGATAAGAACTGTGACTGGATCTTTACCTTCCTTAGCTACTCCCATGCATTGTGTTAATTTGAAACACCTTGGAGGGAAGAATCGTTTTTCCCAACCCTAAGTCCCTAACTCTTGCTGTGCTACTGGAAATTGGGGTGTGCTTCCGACAAAATAAAATTGGAATGGCGATGCCTTAGAACACAAAATATTTCAGGTTGGTAGATAAAAGGGGAGGAAATTATGAAATTGGGGGAGTTCTTTTTTACAATAGAAGAGGAGCAAAATAAGAAATTCGACTACGGTGGAAAAGCTCCCGGCCAACCCATGTTTGAAACTGTGATGATGTTATGTTGCGTGTGGATATATATCAGAATTTGAAAGGATAATTTCTGTTTAGTATCTTATTTAGGATACTGTATTTGAAGAAAAAACTGGCATAACTCGTAATACAAAATTTTTCGATCAACTGTAAATTATAAGGCAGAAAAAATATTTTTTTAAACATAAAAAAAATACATATATATATATTCTTGAAAAGGACCGAACAAATGGAGGAGTGGATTGGAAAAAATGTATCTTGTTTTGGAAGAGATAATGAAGTACAAAAAAAGTAAAAATAGTAGAAGTAGTGGTTAAAGAATTAAAGGAGAGTAATTGTAGAAGTAGGATAATTAATGGAAAGAAATAATGTGTTTGAATCGATGAGATGTCGCGTGTGGATTTTTATCAGTATTTGAAGGAGCATGTATGTTTAGTATTTTAGTGTACTTATAAAAGATCATCGAGATAATTACACTAAACAAACTGATCATCTCCCTTATAAAAACACATGTTTTGACAAAGAAAACAACACATTATTTTTAAGGCTATGATTTATTTGAGTTCCCTTTTAACGTATTTATAAAAGAACATCGAGATATGTACAACAAACGAATAGATCATTTCCCTTTTCTATTTTTATCGGATTAAATATGTTTGTTTTCATTTCCTTTACAAAAATATCATTCCCTTTTTTTATACCTTAACTTATAATGCTATGAAAAATAGACTGATAATATAGTTTATTTCGGTCTTAAGGTCTAATCTACACATTATTGCACTTCAATTTATATTATGTAAAAAATAAATTAGAGGGTGGAATGATTTTTTTTATTATATTAGAGGGTGGAAGAAATAGTTTGATGTCATATGAACTTTTTTCTCTAATTGATTAAAATCTCTTATCATGAGTTTTTCCTTCTGGGTTGCTCAATAATTAGGATGCGATATTAACTCTTTTAAATAGAAAATAATGTTCATTAACTATAAGATAATTGATATATTTAAATTGATTACATTAAAAATGAATTTGTGTTATAATAAAATAGGACAAAGATAAAAATATACTCCCTCCGTCTCACAAAAATATTCCACATTGAGTTTGAGTTTTGTATTGTTTCTAATATAAATTTGAAAACTCAATGTGAATTACTTTTGTGGGACAAAGGTAGTATCAATTAATATTACATGTAAATATAAATTTATACCTAATATACCCCGCACAACGTGCAAGAAATACCACTAGTATTGTATCTATATATATAGATATATACATATATATAGATTACATCTCTTTGTTAAATCTTGTTTTGAACTGTGTAAGTTTTTATTTATTAAGAAACAATGGAATACCTCATGTCTCAATTTAGCTAGTATTGCTTTGTCTAGTTCATATCCACAGATTTGGAAAAATACATCTCCGTTGTAGTTAGATGAAGTATTTATGGTTGACTGTAATAGTTCGACTTAAGCTTTCTGAAAAAGATAGTGTAGATGTGGTAGTTGAAAGGATTAAATAGGAAATGAAATATAAAGTAAGTGTAAGCTGGAAAAAATTTAGGCTCTCTGAAAAAGCTTATTTGGAAAAGTTAGGGATCAGTACAAATACTTGATAGAAGATCATGTAATGAAAATCGAGATCACAGTTGTGACAAGTTAATATATTATTAACCTTTCACCAAAAAAAAAAAAAAATAGTCCCACTTAGGTCATGCGTATATTATTCATATCACTTCTTCTGATTTTGAATGAAAAATGATAGCAGAAAAAAATACTCTCTCCGTCCCAGAAAAATAATCCAGTTTAATAAAAAAATTTGTGCTAAAAAAGATAGTCTAGTTTTACAAAAGTCAAAATTAATTAAATTGAAATGACTTAAATATCTAAAAGAGTAGTGGTAAGGAAAACAAGGTCCACTTTCTTTGATTTTCATTCTTTTTAGTTTTCTCCCAGTTTTTCAAATAATAATACATGAATAATAAAAAAATGTGTTATATATCAAATTAATCTACGTAACAAGATCTTTCCATCAAGATCCATTGTCAATATTTTTTGAGATAAAAATTTTGATCAAATTTAAGTTGTAAAATAAATGCATATATAATTAAGTTTTATAGAAATAAGTAGAAGGGAAATTAGTAGAAATTAGGAGCATAAAATGAATTTAACATTTGGTGTGTTGACCAAATTAAAAAAAGTTATACATTATCAAACTGGACTATTTTTCTAGGACGGAGGGAGTAAATTAATTATTCAAAATTATAGAATCAATAAATATCGATAATGGTTAAGATTTAGATGAAAAAAAATAAAGTAATATTTTAATATAACTAAATTACATTTCTATTTCTATATATATATTACTAATAGAGAAACCGGAGAGAGAAACTAAGTTTCATTTTTAGAGTGACAACTAGGATAAAATTTATGTGTAATTATTTTATGTGTTCTAAAAAAAATAAGTTGTGGAAATTGTGTTAATACCCTTGAATTTTATGCTAAATTAAACACTAAATTAGGATCATCTTATAATAATAGTTTAAGTGACTCCCTAAAAATATGGCCTTTTTAATAGAGAAAAATTAGGAAGCAATTTTAACACAATAATTTTGATAACATTTTTATATTTAGGGTGAATATACAGAGTTTTACTATATAACATTTTTCCACGATCGATTGCCTATGAGCAGTCCAATTTGCATTTGGGATCACTATAAAATAAGGTAACCAATAATGGTTAGACTTAATTAAGGAAATCAAACAATAACTCCCACAAATTAACCCTAATCCCAAATATAATCAGAGAGAAAATATATATATATATATATATATATAGATAATTGTTTATTCAAATGCCGCTCTTTTATTCAAATTCTGATCAACTTCACCTTTGCCTTTGCTATAGTTAGGGATGGGTTCTTGGAAGCTCAAATTTAGTCCTTACAATGGCTTTGCATTTAAGATTGTTCATTATGTTTGTATTTTTCTTAAAAATATTTTTAGTAAAAAAATAAATTTAAATTTATTTATCCCGCACAATGTGCAGGTTTAACATCTAGTTCTTTTTATACTCAAATAAGAAACAAATAGATCGTGACACGTTGCCCAATTGCCCTAAAAAACTAGTAACGTTGGCTAATTCCCTCCACATCAAACACACTCCCAACTTTAAAACCCTATATTACTGTACTTGTCATACTGGAGCTCCTTCCAGAAACCAACAACAATGACGAAGGTATATGGAACTGGGGCTTTCGATTTCAAGCGCCCTAGAGTGGCGGAATACCCTGTGGTGGATGAAATCTCGCAGCCGGCCGAAGATGTTGTTCAAAAGCCTCCGGAGTCGCAGCAGCCCGTCGGTTCCAGGCTGTCCACCGCCATGACCTTGACGGAAATACAGAGGGATCGACTAACGAAAATCGCCGAGGAAAATTGGGTGACGACCGGAGATTCTACTACTCCCAAGAAGCCTTTTAGTTCGGATTTGGTTAAAGAGATTTACCAGACGGAGTTAACCGTGAAAGGTAATCTTTGTGCTCGATTCCGTTGCTAGATTTAGGGGTTTAGGGTTTAAGTTTCCGATTGCTTTCTGAAAGTTGAGTGTTTCTTTTCTCCTTCGGATGATAATACGTGTTAGATGTGTCTTAGCTCATGATTAACTAGTTTCTTGGATATCCTGATTTTTTTTTTTTTTTGACATTGTGTTTAATGCAGGTGGGCGAAAGCCGGTTCCACTCCAAAGAGTGATGATACTGGAAGTTAGTCAGTATTTGGAGAACTACCTATGGCCCAATTTTCATCTAGAGACGGCTACCTTTGAGCACATTATGTCAATGATCCTCATGGTTAATGAGAAGGTACACTTGTTTTGTTCTATGCCTTGTTTAATTGGTTACTAGACTGTATGTACTGATTCTAATAGTAAACTCAGCTTTGCGCGGGGGTGATGTCAATGATCCTCAAGGTCGATACAAGTATTTGTTTTTGTTTGGTGCATTAGCATCTGCTGTTTTTTACATTAGGTTTATCATTTCAATCTAGAGATTTTTATTTCTTAGGCAATTAAATTTAATACTCATCTTCTATGCAGGGGCATGATATTTTGTTTACTTTATTCAAATTGGTCAACGTTATATTTGTACATTGGGAAATGGTGAAATCGTGGTTCCCTACCTGATGTTATCCTTTCTGGAAATAAGTTTAAGGTTATGAGCATATTGTCGCTTCTACCTGAATTGTTGAAGTCAGTAATTCTAATAAGTTTATGGAATTGCGTGGGACAAATTCCATATCCTTATTACTCAAGTAACTAGGCTTATTACTTAAAAGAATATTTTAAGGTTTCAGTGTAGAATTTCAGATGGGAAAGTTATTCATTACTTGAATTGATAAAGAGACATACACAACATTTAGTGGTTGTCATAATCTGAAGCAATGCCGTTGTTCTGGTGATGATGGTTGTAATGGATTTTAACTATCTTTTGCAGTAACTGTGCCTCTTTATTGTTAATTTCTTATGCTTCTGTGTATCTGGATGCTTGTGGTAGATTTAGAACATGCTATTGATCTTTTTCCCAGTCAAACAGTTATTATGCTTAAAAATGAAAATGATGGAATAAGATCTTCAGTTATAAATGCTAATGTAGATTTTTGTTGGGCATGTCTTTTATGCTTCAAACTTGAACATTACCATTGAAGGTATATCACTATGCTTCAGGCAAACATTCACATATGTATTTCATAGAGTATACCACTTGTAGTTATTTTAGGTGGCTACGTTCCCTCCGTGTACTTAGTAGCTCAGTGATATCATTTCTTATAGTAGTGTTGCCACAAATAAACTGTTGTCCTTCATGCAATATTTGACGAGTTTGCAATTGATGGGCAAAGTGCTGAAACCTTTGTGATTCAGACCATGTTTAGATAGCGAGTGGATATCCCAGTGACTTTCCCTGCCTGTGGGAAAAGAGAAGGAAGACAGGCAGGCTTTGATTTTTTGGGTAGAAGATATCTAGTCTATATGTTGGTCTTTTGTCGTGAAAGAGCAAGTTCAATTTAAATGGTGTATCATTAGGCTTCCGTACAATAGAAAGACCAACTAGTTGCAAGCTATGACGTGCCTGTACTTTCAGCAATTATGGCAGAAGCTTATTATTTTTCTTCGCAAGCTTCTTCAGGTTGAACTTGATTTCTCTCTGGGTTATCATTATGAAAGTTACCGAGAATATTATTGATTAAAATAAGTTCAATGAGCTAAGATTCTATACTTTGGGCTTTAGCTGTTGTGCTGATTGAGTGTCTTCCCCCGCAGCACAAACCCCCCAGGGGAAGAACACTGACAAAACTTGTCAAGGGAAATGCTTTCCTGAGTTTGAAGTTTCAAGATAGAACTTATCATTGGAATGCTATTACCTTTCAACTAGGCAAAAAGTGACACTGAAATTTGAATTCTGCAGTTTCGGGAAAATGTGGATGCTTGGATCTGCTTTCATGACAGGAGTGATATGTTTCAGGGATTTTTTGAGCGGGTACTATCCTTAAAAGAGGTATGCTTCTGGCCTTCGACGTAGTTGGTTTTGCCGTGAGGATTACTTCACATAATTTTATCAGTCTTAGGCTTTTCTATATGCAACTATATTTTGATACTTAGATATCTAAATATTATAAATTCTCATTGTGTTCAGATGTTTTGATATCTTTGTGATTCTTCTTCTTTTTGTTTTATGATTTTGTCTCCTAATTCGCGGACAGATCACTTGCTCCTCAAATGTATTTTCATAGGGTTTAATACCGAGAATTTATTTGCATGATACAGGAATCTATTAGTTCATGCAATTCCTTGATGATGGTTTTCTGGATGTACAAGTAATTTCTTTTGATAGTTACTGATTCATTTTTATTTTTATTTTTTATTTTGGTTTCCTTGATCTTTTTCAAGCAAAGTTTGCTTCTGACAATAACTTTTTAATGGGGTTTTGCTGGAATGAAATCATTCAAGAGGTGTTTCTGAATTCTATTTTAAAGTTTTTCATTTGGAACTTGGTACTTATTCCATTGCCGCAGTACGCTTCCAATAGCTGTTATAAACAGGCTTTCACTTTTCTTTGAGGTTTCGAACGCTACCAGGGCACATAACATGTTTCATAAGGGTGTTATTGTAATCGAGGACTTTGTAGTCTCAAATGTTTAGTTTATTTATTTATTTATTTTTTCCTTTGTAAATGACGTTTTTATTTTTGTTGCAGGGAAGAAGCTTTAGTATTGCAGAGAAGACAAATTATCTACTTTTCATGATCAATTCCTTTCAGGTAAATTGATGCATATTGTTTCCTACTGAAATGGCATGGTCTGTGCTCTATCCTAATCTTTCTGGAAATAATTTGTCAAGAGATCCTCTTTAGGTTAAGTTTGTGGAGATTTCTTCTTGCCTCTATTTGTGGCTAGTGTGTTGTTTTTTGTAAGAGAGAATCAAATATGTTGTGTCAAGTACGTTTGTGCTAGTAATATTCATGGGATGAAAATAGGATTTGGAACACAGCAGAAGGTCTGAATTTGTGCCTTTTACCCCTAAGAATATCAAGTAGAAAGAAGCTCCAAAATGTTCCTCTGTAGACTTCGAAGAAGGCAATGTTTGGCATATGTGGATTACCGTGAGTACTTAACTAAGATGAAATGCTGCTTCTAGGCCCTTTTAGAGTCCCATGCAGGAGTTTAGTTTGGTAGTGCATATAATTTTCCAGAATTTACTCGGGCGTTGCTCGTTTCTAATGTGATTGGCATTTAATAAAATCATTTAGTAGGGCAGAAAGAAAATGGTGAGTTTAAATGTTTTCAAACCTCTGAATTGTCATGTATACATAGATATACAATCTTAATTAAATTGGGACTATGTAAGAAATAGCAATTTAACATGACTAATGGGAAGTGCATATTCAAAAATGTAAAGAAACAAATGGGCATCTTTCAAAATTTTGACTATTACCATTTAGTTGTCATACATGAGAGTCAGAAAGGGTAACTAATAGAAAACCAAATACGTGTTAGGTTCTACTCGTGAAGCTTGTGAAATCCAGAAGTAAATTCTATTTGTAGATTTACTCTTGAAGTATGTGAATATTCACCTGAAAGAGGGCACATCATCTCAACAACACCAAGTTCTCTCCTCTCTTATTCTCTTTTGCATCTTATGATCATCATCTCTATGAAACAGTAGAGCAGATATGAGAATTAATGGCTCTGCCTGTTGAAGAATGTTGCTATTATAAAAGTCAAAACGTCAATGTTCAATATTTGATAACCTGTTACAACATCTCTTGGATGTACTCCAAGTGAGGCCAGGTGTTTTGCCAAAAAAGAGTTCCTGTAATCAAGAATACCGGTTATTTATTTTTACTGGTGTAACTAGTATTTTGTTGTTCTATCATATTTGTTTTCCAGTGACCTATAGAACAATGAGATAGTTGTGATCATAGGAATAAACATGATTTCTGTGATATCTTTTACTGATTAAAACAAAACCGGTCAAAATTTTGGAATTTTCTGAGCATTCCAAGGGTATGTGCTTTAAACATTTCTCTTTTGTTGCTTCAAGATGGTTTTGGTAGGAAATGTTTCTCTTCTCTCTTTGTTTTTTTTTCCTCACGTTTTTTCACTCCCTATGTTTTTATGCCCCTCTTCTGGAATTTCACCCTAATACTTTTTTCCTGTATTTATGCTAGTAGTCTCACCAATTTATGCAATGTCAGTGCTTACCTTTTGAATGTTTCATATTTGAATGTCAGTGCTCACCAATTTATGAAATGTTTCTCTTCTCTCTTTGTTTTTTTTTTCCTCACGTCTTTTCACTCCCTATGTTTTTATGCCCCTCTTCTGGAATTTCACCCTAATACTTTTTTCCTCTATTTATGCTAGTAGTCTCACCAATTTATGCAATGTCAGTGCTTACCTTTTGAATGCTTCATATTTGACTTGGCATCTTAATACTTCGTGTTTCTTTAAGTAGGAATTAGTAGAATTTATTCCCCCTTAGATTTTAATACATATGTGCACCTAATATATTCCCCCTTCAATTTCTTTTAGTGGACCTAACTTTTGAGTATGGACGTAGTTAATTTGGTTGTGGGTTTGATAAATTTGACATAACATATTTATCATTAACGACCCCTAATGTAATGCGGTATTTTCTTGCTGCATTATTGTGATTCCTTTTCTCTTGTTGTAGAGCCTTGAAGATAAAATCGTGAGACAAAATATTTTAAGAGTAGCAGGCATGCAGTGTTGGCATAGCTTATCTTATGGCCGTTTGCAGGTGAAAAATTTCTACCAACTTAAAATGAGTTGCATATAAGTTGGGTGGAAACTTGTTTTAGGAATACTGAGACTTCATGATGAATACTTAATTTTCATTATGTAGATTGAACTATGTCTTAATCCAAGTTTGATTAAGAAATGGAAGAACATCGCCAAAAAAGGGAAGGATGCCGCTCAGAGTGGGAAAGGACATTTCTTGCGGGATCTCATTGAAGAGTTATTGGAGGTATGGTTCCCCTAAAGGGGGGAAAAGAATTAGTATTTTATCTCATTCAATATGTTATGTCTGTTTTATGTATCTTCTGTCACCACTGTGCTCTTTCAAAACACATGTTCTCATTCACATGCTCTATTTTCAGGTGCTGGATTCCAATGTTTTTCTTTACCAGCGGCAGGGCAATGAATCTGATCAATCGGTTAATACTGGTGTTGTGGAATTTGTTAATGACGCATGTGTCTTGTATTGTGAAAGATTTATGGAGTTTTTGATTGATCTCTTGAGCCAATTGCCGACGAGGAGGTATGTTGACACCCTGACAATTAGTTGAGATATTTGCAGATTCTCTTGTGTCTTTACAATTGCTTTTCTGTAAAGTGGCTAGGAATGATCTGCATTTTGTTTTAAGTCATCTTTTAATGTTCGCTCTTTACATCTCATTTCAAACTAGATTGGGACAAGCGAAGTGGTCTGCTTCTTCATTCATTGCAGGATTCTCTGTGTTGCATTCTCTTTTTGCTCTTCTATCATCGCCTATCTCATTTCTTGTCTAGGAATTAATACTTTTAGCATGGTGTCTCTTTCCGTTAAAAATATTTTGCTTCCAGGTGTTAAGCATATTTTTGGTTCTCCAACCGTTACTTTGCCCCCTCCACCAAAAAAAAAACATTTCTAATTATATTTGTACTCTCAATACAGATATATCAGGGCTCTTGTAGCCGACATTGGTGTTGTTGCAAAATGTCATTTAAGTGCTCTGTATAGACATGAGAAGGGGAGACTTTTCTCCCAGCTGGTTGACTTGCTTCAGTTCTATGAGAGATTCCCGATCGATAACTATTCTGGCAAACAAATGGACGATGATGAGGTGCTTCAAGCACATTACAAACGCTTCCAGGCTTTCCAGGTTCATGCTTTCAAGAAGATTCCGAAGGTGAATTTCATTCTTTTCCTTTTCTTTTGTGTGTTCCTTGGGGTACCTACTTTATTTTTACTCTTGGTGGCGTTATTGAAGCTTGGCATTCCATTTTGGGTTCTAACTTGAAAAGCTTCCTTCTTTTACATTGTAGTTGAAAGGGCTTGCTTTAGCCAACGTTGGTGCAATAGAAAAGCGTGCTGATCTTTCGAAGAAACTCGCTATACTTTCTGCTGACGAGCTGAGGGATTTAGTCTGCAAAAAGGTTTGTGATGTGCTGATCATCATGTTCTGACTCCTTTGTTTCTGGTTTGTTTATTTGTGTAACCTTTGTTTAATCACAGTTGTACAGATGCGGAAGCAATTTGTCTGTTAGGATTTTTTGTCTTGTACTTGCATCTTGTTTGCTTGCCAATTTGCTTAAGATCTTGAAGCATGCAGTTGTTGGCAAGTGGATGTCCATGCATTTTAAGATTGACATACCTGAAACCTGGTGAATAGATGCACCTAGTGATTTTATCCATTTTCCCCATCTATCCATCTGATCACATCCATATATCTGTTTATCCATCTTTCCCTCCCTCCGTCCCTCCCATCCATCATTTAATGTGTGTAATCACAGTAAGTCATGCTACATGTGCACAGGAATTGTATGTAATTTATCTCTGCCCCCAATAGTTGCATGTGTTATCTCTCATCTTGTTTACAAATGTTCAGTGGACAAGACATACTTCCTTGTTCATGCTTCATCATTCTTTTTATTTTGCGTGTAATGTTACACTTTGGCTGTGGGATCAACTTGCATTTTCACTATATGCAGCTGAAGCTATTGTCAAAAAGCGATCCTTGGTCTGAGAGAAGGGAGTTTTTGATTGAGGTCATGATGTCTTTTTTTGAGAAACAACAATCGCAAAAAGAAGCCATAAATGCCCTTCCGCTCTATCCTAACGAGCAGATAATGTGGGATGAGAGCCTGGTGCCGAGCATTAACTACTCTGGTGAGGGCTGTCTCGCGCTCCCAAAACTCAATCTACAATTCTTAACACTCCACGATTATTTGCTTAGAAATTTCAACCTTTTCCGCCTTGAGTCAACGTATGAAATCCGTGAGGATATTCAAGAAGCAGTACCACATTTGTTAGCTCACATTAATAAGGAAGGAGAAACCGCTTTTCGGGGCTGGTCAAGAATGGCTGTGCCAATCAAAGAATTTAAGATTACGGAAGTGAAGCAGCCAAACATTGGGGAAGCAAAGCCATCAGCTGTAACTGCAGAAGTTACTTTTAGCATTTCAAGCTATAAAGCACAAATTAGGTCGGAGTGGAATGCCCTTAAAGAGCATGATGTCCTCTTCTTGCTCTCTATTTGCCCATCATTTGAACCTTTAAGTGCAGATGAAGCTGCTAAAGCTACTGTGCCACAGAAGCTTGGTCTTCAGTACGTACGTGGATGTGAGATTATTGAAATACGAGATGAGGAGGGCACTCTCATGAATGATTTCACAGGAAGAATTAAGAGGGATGAATGGAAGCCTCCAAAAGGAGAACTTAGAACTGTGACTGTGGCATTGGATACTGCACAATATCATATGGATGTTAGTAATATTGCAGAGAAGGGTGCAGAAGATATTTACGGCACATTCAATGTCCTGCTGAGGAGGAAACCCAAGGAGAATAACTTCAAAGCTATTCTAGAATCCATACGAGACTTAATGAATGAAACTTGCATTGTTCCTGAATGGTTGCATGACATATTTTTGGGTTATGGTAATCCTTCTGCTGCACAGTGGATTAACCGTCCAGATCTACTGGAGCATGTAGACTTTAAGGATACTTTCCTTGATGCTGATCATGTCAGAAAGTCTTTTCCAGATTACCAGGTTACAAGGACTTCCCATTCCAAAAATTTGGCTTTGATCTATCTAGTACATATTTTCTTATTTTCCTTTATTTCCTGTCCCAGGTTTGCTTCATAACTTCGGATGGCACTGAAAACGCAAGTCCTAGACCCCCTTTTCGCATTAACCTTCCCAGAAGTTTGGCACGAAGAACTCATGCTTTGCCTGGGGATGAGAAGGCCATCTCAGCTCCAACAGACGGGGAGACAAAAGAGAAACTACTTGTTGAGGCTTATATTCCTCAGGACCCTGGTCCATACCCGCAAGACCAACCAAAGCAAAACTCAGTGAGGTTTACTCCCACTCAGGTACCTGGCCTATTTTATCCTGTTCAACATATCTACCTCATGTGCTGTGGAATTTAATTAGTTAATATAATATGACCTTAGTTTAATCATTGGTCTATACAAGAACACCGTCACTCAGATTTGGAAGTTATCATCATTTCTATGCTTTGTGAAATCATTGCTTTAATAGTGATCTATAATTTTCTTACATGGTAGAGGTCTTGTACTGGTCCTTTATGCTTTGCAATGATAAGAGGGTGACCAGGATATCAGCAAAATATAGACTTCTTTTAAATTTATGATGTTCATATTCTTTCTTTGTGGATGAAGGGTGGTGTGTTCAGTGAGGAGAAAATTTTATATTTATTTATATACATTTGTGAAACCAGATTCTTGATATTCTATTCATCATTTGTTTGGTGCAGCTTGCTTTTCTTACAGTTTAAGATGCCTTGCTTTTTCTTCATGTTTAATGTTATCTATGCCGAAGTAGTTTTTAGAGCTTTATTTGACTCCTCTAAACATTATTGAACCATGTTGACAAAGTAAAAGTTAATATTTCGAAGTAACAACAACGTTGGACTAGGTAGACCATTTGGTGGAACTATTGTTTCCAGTTTATGAAGCTGAACTTTTTACTACAAAGTGCCTTGAACTAAAGCCTAAATTAATATGCTTCTTGAGATTCACTAAATATTGAAAGCACTAAAGATCCTTAATGGTGGCTATAAAGTGTGGTGATTGCTTGTTTCCTAGTGCTGCTATGTTCTGGAGGCTTTTCTGATGCTTAAAGCATAAATTTCCAGATGTGTTTTGATAGAATTTTGTGGCTGATTCCTCTTCTGTGGATTCGTTTTAATCGCTATCTTTGTGTGGTTCTTCTAAAAAACTGAGGTAATATATAATGGACCACATGCATTATGTCTACTGGTAACTATCGTCAGGCCTAGAATTTATTTTTTTCGTGAGTTGAAAGATTGAATTGTTAGAAAGATGTTTTGAAAAATAAATTATGTGTTTTGAAGGAAATAAAAGTAATGTTTGTTTCCAAACCAAAATGCTAAATTCAATTTAATTTGATTTGTTAGTAATTCCAGGATTAGAAGGATGTTAATTTGACTTAGATTTGTGTGGTAAACTGGTAATATTTAAAGATATAAGATTGCTTGGAGCAAAGTTTTTCTTCCGAAACATGAAAGACAGAATTAATTCATTATTAAGTTAATTTGTTTGGTGTGACGTCTTTAGTTTTAAACACCTGGAGAATTACGTAAGTGCCTTGTGGCAACTTGAGAAGAGGTTTATTAACTTGGGTTTTTGTTTCTAATATAGTTAGATAGGTTTTGTTGACCACTTTACTACTTTATCATTGCTAGGTGAAATTGATTGTGATTGACCAAGTATTCGTCCAATCCCTCTAAACTGATGTCTAATAAACTGATGTGGATTGTATCAGAAAGTGTCGTAGTGGTGTAATACTTGTTTATTTTCGTTGCTGTAAAAGTTCTAGATTTCAAATGAATCTTTTTGAAATCGTTCTATGCTTGTACAATAACTTCTTGTACCACAATTTTGTCATTGATGGTACCTTGTTGAAAAATGGACTCTAATGTGTGTTTATCCGTGTTACACAGGTTGATGCAATCATTTCAGGGGTTCAGCCAGGATTAACCATGGTTGTTGGGCCACCTGGAACGGGAAAGACTGATACAGCCGTTCAGATCTTAAACGTGCTTTATCACAATTGTCCATCTCAAAGGACCTTGATAATTACTCATTCAAATCAGGCTCTGAATGATCTGTTTGAGAAAATTATGGAGGTACAGATACTCAAAGATGTTATTCCTGCATGATTTTTTTTCCTTTACAACCTTGCACACTCATTTTGATTTGCTACTCCTTTTACATATTATGGTTGGTTTTATTGTAACAGAGGGACGTGCCAGCTCGCTATCTTCTTCGTCTAGGTCAAGGTGAACAAGAACTAGCGACTGATCTTGATTTCAGTCGTCAAGGCCGTGTGAACGCAATGCTTGTACGACGTCTGGAGCTACTTAGTGAAGTAGAGCGACTTGCTAGATCCCTTCAGCTCCCGGAAGATGTCGGCTATACGTGTGAGACTGCTGGTTACTTCCGTCTGCTTCATGTTCAATCCCGCTGGGAACTATTTTTAGATGCTTGTAAGAAAAATCAAGATAAACCAGCATTTGTTCATGATAAATTTCCATTCAAGGAATTCTTTTCAAATGCACCACAGCCTATATTTACTGGCCAATCCTTTGAGAGTGACTTGCGGGCAGCAAAAGGTTGCTTTCGTCATCTGGAAACTATGTTTCAGGAGCTTGAAGAGTGTAGAGCCTTTGAGTTACTTAAGTCGACTGTTGACCGCTCAAATTACCTCATGACAAAACAAGCAAAGATTGTGGCGATGACTTGCACCCATGCTGCACTTAAACGAAAGGATTTTCTTCAGGTAGGCTTTAAGTATGATAACTTGTTAATGGAAGAAAGTGCTCAAATTTTGGAGATTGAGACATTCATCCCAATGTTGCTCCAAAGGCAGGAAGATGGCTATGCCCGCCTTAAGCGCTGTATATTGATTGGTGACCATCATCAGTTGCCTCCTGTAGTGAAAAATATGGCTTTCCAGAAGTACAGCCATATGGATCAGAGTCTATTCACCCGATTTGTTCGCCTAGGAATCCCTTACATTGAACTCAATGCTCAGGGCAGAGCAAGGCCAAGTTTAGCTAGGCTTTACAATTGGAGATACAGAGACCTTGGTGATCTTCCATTTGTAAAGGACAATCTGACCTTCCATAGGGCAAATGCTGGGTTTTCTTTTGACTACCAGTTGGTTGATGTGCCTGATTATCATGGTAGAGGTGAGACTGCTCCTTCCCCTTGGTTTTACCAAAATGAAGGTGAAGCCGAGTACGTCGTCAGTGTTTATATGTATATGCGCTTACTTGGATATCCTGCCAACAAGATATCCATCTTGACTACTTACAATGGCCAAAAGTTTTTGATTCGCGATGTCATCAACAGGCGATGTATGCCTTATAGCTTCATCGGTCCGCCTAGTAAGGTATTATGATGTTTGTCTTCAATGGCTACTTGTTTATTGAACTTTTAGTGTTTGCGGCTCCTTTATGTCGTTTTCTCTAGTAGATGTTTGTCATGTTGGCTGATGTGGGTTTTACTAATGTTGTTCGTAGGTTACTACTGTTGATAAGTTTCAAGGACAACAAAATGATTACATATTGTTGTCACTTGTACGATCTCGATTTGTGGGTCACATTCGAGATGTTCGAAGACTGGTGGTTGCTATGTCCCGTGCTCGATTGGGGCTATATGTTTTCTGCCGGCGTTCTCTTTTTGAACAATGTTACGAGTTACAACCAACATTTCAACGATTGCTCATGAGACCTGATCAACTTGCCCTGAATCTAAATGAGGTCATGTCCTATACTGATCGTCTTGTTGAGGACACTTATCCAAGGCATCTGGTTTCCGGCGTTGAAGAGATGGCGAGCATTGTCAATGCCAAGATCCAACAAGTGTATCAGGTATGCTCTAGCTCCGCAGTCTTGCTTACTACAATTGCCATTTCAATCTTTTAGATAACTGCTATCCTTCAATTAGTATAACAGTAGAACTGTAGTTACTATTGGGTTCATAAATTGTTTTAAAAAAGATCAGATAAATTGCACAAGATTCCAATAATTTGAAATTGCTGTATAAGGGGGAAAAAAAAAAAAAATTGCTGCAAAGTAAGTTGAACCTAATCGGCGTAAATCTTCCGAGGTCATACCTTATGTTCTACGAACGGTGCATGATATTGGGCTTTATTGACAGTCAGTTGTCATATGAGAAAGGATCCACCAAGTTTGAGGGTGGCAGATGGTCCACTCTCACCAGGGGATCTCATGATGGTGGTGGTGGTTGTTGGGTGTAGCTCTTTTGATGCTTTTTCTTTTGGGCTTTTGCCCTACTTCTAAATTTTGTTGAAGTTTTCTTTATGATTCTTCAAGTCTCAACCTATCATCATTTTAGCTTGAGCTTTCGTCTTTTAGTCATGTGGCCAAGAAAGTGGGCATGGTTAACTATATGTCAATATGTGATGTCTGATATTGTTGAAATTACACAGTAAAGCCCTAGATAACAAGTGTATCTTGGACCATTTTCAGTTTGTTTGTTTTCCTATAATTTGCTGCACGGGCCATAGGCCACCATTTTTTATGCAGGAAAAGAATAAGAATTAGGGTTTAAGAATTATTAGGAAATTTTAATTTAGGGAAGTTTTAGTATTTTACAGATTTTTTAAGTCTTTTTAGATATTTTCCTTTTTTAAGTATAGGGTTTAACCATAAATAGGGTTGCTGTACATATAGTTTTTATGATATTTCATAATTAAGTTTCAGAACTGCGAGTTCTCTTTTTACGGCTGAGTGTCTGTGTTATGATTTTTATTGGTTTTTGTCTAAAAACCATTGCCTTTGTTCATGGTGATCATGAATCAAAGTGGTGTTCCTTCTTTTCATGCTTCCGCCTGCATCAAATTTTTTTCCCTGATTCTCTGTTTTACCTTTCCATTGGATTGGGGTGTTTTTTATTGTTTGGAATGCATTCTGAGCTAGAGTGTAGTAGTTGTTCCACATTCTCCTCTTATTTGATATGCTAAATGTCTTGGTAAATTAGTTTCTTTCTTTCAAATAATGAAATTAATTGAGTTTTGTTGATTCTGGTCAGGCACAAGCTATGAGCTATCAGTTCAATCTTTTGGCCAATTCTGGGCCTGTCCCTATGGCCGTGGATGATTCAGAACAGAATGTGTCGCCTCCTGTTATGCCTGGCACTGATGGTGTCGAAGATCAAATGTCAACTGAAGACAAATTAAACGAGGCGAACCACCAGATTGCAAATGGTCATAGTAGTTCGCAATCTTGAAATTCACAACTCAATAGTTAACTTTAGCGCGGTCTGATGTTGTACAAATTGAATAGGCGTTTGTTCCTTTTCCTTCACACTGTGATGTAGGTTTGTTCCTGTTCATTAGTTATGTATTCGACGATGGATATTCGGAATTTCAAAGAGCTTACTTAGAAAGTGGAGTGTAAAGGTTCCTGGAAAAAGGTTTCGAAGTGGAGTGTAAAGTTAACTACAAGTAGCCAGGTTTTTCTTTCTAATAATTACAGTAAAAATTTCCTAAATTAATATTCAATAAATTGATAAATTTTACTAAATATAATAAATTTTTCTGTTGCCTTAGTCTCACTTTGACGCTTTTTACTCCTTCCATTCCTTAATATAAGGTATTTTGTTTTGTCTTAAATTTCACCTAATATGTATTTTTGATTGACAAAAAAATTTTAAAAATATATTTTTATATTTATTATATTCTTTTGATTGTTATGAAATATTTTTAAAGTTTTTAATATGGAATACTCTTAGTTTTTAATTTGAAATATTTTTATATTCGTTGTATTCTCTTAGTTTTATGTAATTTTATGTTTATTACCTGAACATTTTTTTTAATTAAATTAGTTTTAATTTGAAATATTTTTATATTCGTTGTATTCTCTTAGTTTTATGTAATTTTATGTTTATTACCTGAACATTTTTTTTAATTAAATTACTACAAGTCCACTTCGAGAGATTCTCTTTATGAAGTTTTGATGGTATGTGAAACAGTAATGTGGATGTTTCTAAGGGTGTGTTCGGTTGCTTGGCTTTGGAATTCAATTAGTATTAGAATATTTTAGGGTTGTATTGGCATTAAAAATATTTTAATTAAATGCCAATTCTTTTGTTCAGCAAAATTATGGAATCGGCCACAAATTCAATTAGGATTCCAAATCTTCTGTTCGGTTGGTTAATTAATTTGGTTGGTTTTGACATTTACTTTTTTTTAAATTGGTTTATTTTGAAATTATTTCAACTTTTAATTTTTGTTTTGTTAAATTGTGTCCTTTCTAGAGTAATATCTAGATATATTTTGTTACCATTTTTAATGTGACAAATAAAAAAACACTTTAAATTTTTATTTTAAAATTTATCAATTATTTAAATATTCGCTATAATAATCAATTTAGGTCATTCCAAAACTATTACATTAACATAATTTTTTATTTATTTTTTAATTTAATTAATTTTGAAATTATTTCAACTTTGCAATTTATATTGTGTTAAAATAATTGTCAATACATATATATGTAGAACGATAATATTATGGACAAACAATGTGGGAATATTATGTTAGATAGTCTATTTTATTTAATTAAAATTTTGTTATATTATTGCTGTCAGAAAGCAATGAATCTTCTTCTTCCGGATGATCTTTCACCAAATAATTTCTGTTTTCTATCTTCCGCACCAAATGCAGACAGCCTTTTGAGATGTATTAATATAATCGAAGTGCAAATTCAAGCTTCATTGATAGGTTCAACTGCAACCTTGTGGAGAAGCAACTGCCAAACATGAAACAAAGCAACAAACATACTTTCAATGACCAAAGCAAAATCAAAACATGAATGATCAAGAATGATGCCTGCATTCTAATTTTGACAAGTATACAATTTAGAGTCTAACAAAACAAAAGAACAGCAAATTTGTAGCTAGATTAGAAAATGATTGACCATTGTTGAAAGATTTCATTTACAATCAACATGCTGCAAACCTGCAAGTGGTCTAATGCATCTATAATGTAGCCAAAAATATAAGAGTTCGATTGCGTTGTCACTATAATCCAATCTCTAGTAACAGATATGACACACATCAACTATCATATTAGACAAAAATTCCACCAGAATCTCACACATGGCCAGAACATGCATCATTACATTCAGTTTTAAGACAAAAATAATTAAAGGCACAATTTGCATCAGGATTATTAAAAAGAACGTGTCTTACTTTAAATTCAAGATAACAACCTTAGGGGAATTAAAAATAACTTAAAAATAATTCTAAAACGAAAATCTCTAATCAACATCAATATCATGAAGACGTGACAACTAATGATATGGTACTATTTTTAAAACTAAAGCAGTCAAGGAGGACATGAATCAGAAACACAAAAGATAGGTCGTATTCCTAGACCATAGTAGTCCTGAAGGTCCATCCTAAATTTGAAGCAGGATATGGATATTTGGCTATACAAGTAAACCCCTATATGCTTTACTTATATCATGTCCAAGAGAGAATTAATCATAAACAAGAAAAAAGTAAGTTAAGCTAACACAATTGAAGAACCCACAACCAAAATCAATACAAAGTTCAAAAATTTATCCGTGATACATGAAGACAAAGTAAGGATGTAAATATGAATTCTTCCTATTGCTTACCATCAAACTGTATTCAGAGAACTTCAACTTTGGGCCATGGTTAGCTTCACACATACATCTGCAGAGAAGAGCTAAAAGAAGAATCTCAACAACAAAAAACCATTAGAAAACTCAGTAAGGAGACAAACCCAAAAGGCAAAAACGAGTATTGTAGCAGTTAACGACGAGCATCACCTTCCAAAAGTCAATCTTGGAGCATAAAAAAGGACTAACTTTACCAACCAGCAAATACATAGAAGGGAATAAGCTCCACCAAAAGAACTAAACTAAGTCCTGCCCAACCAGAATAATACAACCTAAAATACTATTCACATGTACCAACAGTTTCTTTTTTTTTTTTGCCGATTGTGCCCTAACCCTACCATGACGGAAATAAGTTAGATGTTATGTCACTTATCTGAGATTGCAAATGCATGAAAACATCTACCACAGTCAAGAAATATGAGGAGATCACAGCTCATCACTATCGTCTCATAATTCATTACATATGTGCCAAATAACCTCAACTCTTCCCCACTCTAACCACAAAGCTACCGCCACATATAAATGTCCATCCCATCAGCCTCCTAAAATCCAGTAATGCAATTATGCACCGCCAGGGTTGCAAGCTCAGAAAATCACATAGATTATGGGATTTGCACTTAAACATCAAATTACTCCAGTGAAAGAAGGACTAACGAGGATTTATCTACGGATTCTTCAGCTACTCATGTGTTGTTTGCATAAAATATACAATTAAGTACCAATGTTGTCGTGGTCCAAGACTAGACACTAAAGAGAAACGCAGAGACTGATATTGTTTGCTTAAAGTTAGTACAATATGGCGATATTACCATGCCTGCAAGTCAATCGAACCTATGCCACCCCTTTCACATTTCCCAATCAACAAGTGTAACATAAAAAGATTTCACCATAGACCAACACTAATTACGAAGGAGTAACATCATCATTTACAGAAATGACTATACAATTTTGAGGGGGGAAGAAAATTCCAATAAATTGAAAAGTGGGAAACAGTTTCTAAGAGCATAGCATGGAGTAGTCGTTTGATCAGAAACCAAACTACAAATTTGTATCTTGAAATAACAGTATCAAGTGAAGGGGAAACCGTATGGAAATAAATCACCCTTGATATACAGGATAGCAAGCTTTCTTCAGAAGAAATATGTGACAGATCATCTATCTAACAAGGTAGAAGAAGATGCATCTAAACTCAAAACATTCGAAGATGAAAGCAAACATATACTGCCTACTGGTACTACCTAGAATGAGAACCATACAGGGGAAGCCCAAAGAAAACCAAACAAAATTTGAAATTCCTTTAATCTAACTCAGTTCGAATGTGGCTCAATCAGTGAAATCCAAAAAAAATTCAAACAGATCCATGATAAAATAAGAAGAATTTTGTAAAAATCCAACAATCAGAAGAAAATCTCGATGAATTGATGGACAGCTAAGTGGCTAACCCTAACCAAATCAAAAGTAAGAAAAAGAAGGAAAAAAAGAAAGACTACCAAGAAACAACTGCCGCCTCCTTTGCCTTCGCCTTCTCCGTCGCTGATTATGTTAAGATTGGTGGGAGTTTAGCCGGAAATTGTATGGATTAATGGAGGAGAAATAGTGGAAGAAAAAGAGTGGAGGAGAAAGACAGGAAACACGATGGGATTATAAGAGTAGGAAAAAAAGAAACCGGCATAGTAAAAAAGACCCGAACCCGAAGTTTAAATATAGAAATCCGGGAAAGACTCGCGACTTCTTCAATTTTACGAAATCTTAAAATCTCAAATAATAGCTTTGAGCTCAAAATTGAAATCATAGTATTGGAAGATTTTTGGCATTGAATCAATGTTAATTCCATCCCATTTTTGGACAACCAAACACCGGATTTGGCATTGAGGGTGCAAATTCCAATTTCAAACCTCCAATGTCAAGCAAACGAACAGAACCTAAAAGAGATTCTCTTTATGAAGTAAAATGACTCGATATTATTATTATTATTGCCACGTGTACTCATAGGTGGCAACGCAAGAGCTAACTTCATCATACTAGACACTACTACTACTACGTATATGTTAGGAATCCATATTATCATTCCAAAAACGAATCAAAATTTGATTCAGAATCATCATCAATCAATCAATAAATCTTCTCTGTTCAATTCATTTGATTCGGTGAGGAAAAAACAAAAAGAAAGAAAGAAATGAATTCGGAAAATTTGCTAGTTTCAGCGGCCATTAACATAGGCCTAGCCATGTTCATACTTACTCTGTTCTCTATACTGAAAAAACAGCCTTCAAATGCACCAATTTATTATGCACGTCGGATTTCCCTCAACCACAACATCCCTTTTGCACAGGGTATCACTCTGCGCAGAATTCTCCCTTCATTTGATTGGGTTCGCACCGCTTTTCATGTTTCTGAGGATGACATACTTCAGCAATGTGGCCTTGATGTGCTCGTCTTCATTAGACTGCTTAAATTCGGGTAAGATAATTTATATTTCAATTCTGTTTTTTTTTTTCCCATTTTGGGGATTTCGGAGTTCATTTATGCGGTTTTGGTTCATTATCTTTTGTGGGTTTTGTTTGTCTTGATCGATTTGGGGAAATTGTTAACAACCAATTTGATCCCTCCCAAGTAAAAAAAAAAAAAAACTATGGAGAGCCCTTTAGTTACTTGTATAAAGTCCGCCGTTTTTATGCTGTCTCTTATTGATTTATATTAATTCCGAGAAACTGTGTGTCTAATTCGGTAATCCTGATCATGCATGCAACATTCATTTTGAATGTTTCGCAGGCGGTGCAGCAGAAAGAAAGAGACTTATATTGATGATCATATAATAATACTAACAATTTTTCTCCCCTGATTTAGTAAAGTCTATGATTTTGATTGTTGTTCATAGCGTATGTTGAATTGGAGGCGTCTTAATTAGATATGGTTGTAGTCTAACGTTTTCTGTGATTAAAGATTAAGTTTTTGCTTGTTGAATGGGTCGGGTTGGCACTAGAACTTTGAAAGGGAGGCGTTTCTTATCATTAGACCCAGTTAAACCTAGTTGACTGGCTTGGGTGGTTCTACTGGGTGTTAGTGCCCATTGATATCTTTTATTGGGCTTGCCAGTTAATGAGTCAGAGCAGTTGATTTATTGATTTGCGATTGACGCCTGTATTTTGGTTTTGGACAGTTCTGTGTTCTGAATTCTAAACTTATTCTTATGATTTTGGTAGTAAGGCTTGTATTTCCTTTCCGAAGCTACTTTCTTTCGGGGATGGGTTTTCACTATTGGTTTTATTCATAAGCCCTTATCAATCTTATACTTGCGTTAAATTTTCAGGATCAATTTCTTTACAGTGTCCAGCATTGTTGCCTTATCGATTTTGCTTCCACTTAATTACACTGGCAATGAAACAACAGAAAGTTCGCCCTCTCATTCATTGTATCCGTTTACAATATCTAACGTTAGAGAAGGTTCTAATCGGTAAGTTATAATGTTGTTCAAAAGATTGTTTTATATTAAATTTGGCATTGGCATCTGTGCGGTACAATTGTACTTGCAAGTTTAATTCTTTCTTTTCCCCTTCTTCTGCAATTTCTTCATTCCTCCTTTTCTGTTCTTCTTCATGGCTGCTGGCAATGGAAAATTTCAACCATGTTGAACAAGTTAACCCAAGTGTCGATAGAAGATAATTACGTCTCTCAGCCACCGAAAAATTCGTATTGCAAAATGCTGTCATGGTCAGTGGAAAATAAAATATTTTTGCCCAATGTTCAAGAGGGATTCAGTTAGCTAGAGGAAAGCATATTAAAGAAGTTTGTTCTCCAATCTAGGTACAACAATCAGTGAACATTTGATTGGATAACAATTTAACAGAACTTACAGTCTTCTAGGATTCCTTGAGGAGCTATATAGTCTCCGTAGTTTTTCATTCAATACTTTTTGTGCGGCCTAAAATTTATAGAAGACCTAGTAAAGGCGCAGCTTCCTGGCGTTAAAGGGTTTCTGATTAGATAAAGGGTTTTGCTGAAGTTTTGGCGATCGAATTGGAAGTGATTACATGGATACTGTTAGTAGAGAGGCTAATTCCAAGATTTTCTAATCCTAAGTAAATTTTCTTCTCAATGAAATTTGAAAATTGGCTGTTCTTTATTACAGAAGAATCAGGTGAAAAGCTGAAAACAGATTTAGGTGGAGTATGAAGGAAAACTGATATGTAGTATGGCATGCATATGCAAGTTTTGTTGAGATTCATTTGTTTCTCTCCATTGTAATTTGTGGTTATGATGGTTATTCTTTATCTGTACAGCAAGTAACTAACAAGGTTAACTGTTACTTTGGCCTTGTGATGCAGGAAGATTTCAGAGATATGGGTAGCTTCATATTAGGTTTAAGGGAAATAGCTAGAATCTTCTTAGAATTAAGTTTCCTTTTAGTTTAATTTCCTGTTTGCTATATTACCTTAATTATGAATTAGTTTTAGGCAATTTTAGTAGCTTTAGGAATAAGCCAGGCTTCTCTATAAATAGGGTGGTTCTGCCGTAGTTGTGATGGACGTTTTTGATATTAATATAATTTTAAGCTTTTGAAGCTTCGAAAGACTCTTGTCTTTCTGAAATCCCTACAGCTAGGGTTTGCCTTTCCGTCTGTTTTCAATTAACCCCCTGTTCCCCATCAAATGGTATCAGAGCTGGTCCCCACCCTTCGTGCTGGCCTGCGGAAAGGGCTACCTAGAAGAAGGGCTACCCGGAGTCACGTAGAGTGTGAGCCGCCGGAGGAAAGGGCTACCTGCGGAGTGAAGCCGCCATGGAAAGGGCTACCTGTGAGTGAAGTTGTCTAGAGTGCAACCGCCGAGACGTCGGAACGGAAGCGTGATGGTATGTAATGATAGTTACTTGAATCCCACATTGGTGTCGGATGACACTGGTGCGTGGTTTATATGTCCTTGGGTTCTCCCCCCTTACAAGCTGGCTTTTGAGGTGGGATTCCCCCAAGAGGCATGACAAGTGGTATCAGAGCACTTGTGGACGTCTCTAAGAGCCTGCTTGTCAATAATATGGTACTTTTAATGAAGAACTATAGTTTCCACAACAGAAGGAGGTTGTTTTGGACTACAATGATTAAGTCTTTAACCCTCGCAAAGAATCAAGGAAAGAGGTTACTGAAAGAGTCTGCAGGATGTCCTCTTGATCGAGGAAAGCTGAGGAAAATTGTTTTGGAAACACAGATATCAGATGAAAATCAAGTTCTACACAACATCAATTTTCATCAAATAGCTTTGTCCTGTAAAGTGCTTGTCTGTGATTGCTATCAAACCAATGAATCTGTTTTTACACTAAAACAGGCATCTCTATTCAAGGTGAAGAGACTTTATTGGTTCAAGAGGTTTCCAAGACATCAAGTTCTTTATGTTTGGAGGAGGAGAGGAAAGAAGGCATTGCAGTACTTAACTGGAATTCCTTTTGATAAAGGAAAACCCAAAGCAAACCTCGACGACGAGTTTTCTCTCAAGCAGGGGAGAGTTGATGCAGGAAGATTTCAGAGATATGGGTAGCTTCATATTAGGTTTAAGGGAAATAGCTAGAATCTTCTTAGAATTAAGTTTCCTTTTAGTTTAATTTCCTGTTTGCTATATTACCTTAATTATGAATTAGTTTTAGGCAATTTTAGTAGCTCAGGAATAAGCCAGGCTTCTCTATAAATAGGGTGGTTCTGCAGTAGTTGTGATGGACGTTTTTGATATTAATATAATTTTAAGCTTTTGAAGCTTCGAAAGATTCATTGTCTTTCTGAAATCCCTACAGCTAGGGTTTGCCTTTCCGTCTGTTTTCAATTAACCCCCCTGTTCCCCATCACCTTGACATGACCAAAATGCGTTGGCCCTGATCGTGATGATCTTGATCACATTTTATTATACTAAATCTCCTTTGCATTGACAATCTTTATTTTGCTACTCAACTATTTGTGCTGTTATGTGCAGGCTCTGGGTGCATTTTTCATGCTTATCTTTTGTTTCTTGCTACGGATTATACCTATTGTACAAGGTATTGTTGATTTCTGAATTTACTCAGTGATGCAAATCTGTTCTTAAGATAATATAGTGACATATTTCTATGTCAACAATTTGGTAAAGCTGATAACTGTGGGAGTCGATCCTGTTAATGTGACACACCTGACGCATACAGATCAAGTAGACAATCTACCCATGTCTGTATATGTTGCTCAGCGGTTAAGTTTTTTGTTTTATTATCATGTTATAATTTTCTTTCTCTAAACTATAATCATAATGCTAACTTGGTATGTTTATTTGATGGCCATAGAACATAGGGGTAATCGTTAACTGAACTAAAAAGACATGCATAGTTTGTTTCCCATGTATCTGGCATCCTATCATCCATCTATGTTGACTTCTCATTTTTAGTAGCTGTTGTAATTGTCCTACTGCTTATACATAATGTGGCACTGTTCTATCTTTATCCGGCTGGATAATATCATCTTTACTCTTTTTCTGTACAGGAATATCATGACATCTGGTTGAGAAGGACTAAGAAGCTACATGACCTAAGGCATCGCCCAGATCAATTTAGCATCCTAGTTCGCCAGATCCCGTTTTGCAATGAGCACAAGGCTTATGCTTGCTGTTTGGATGCCTTCTTCTCTAAACTCTATCCTTTTTCTTATCAGTCTAACCAAATTCTCTATGATTGTAAGGAACTTGAGAAATTGTTGGTGAGGATAATGTTCATATGCTTGTCCCTTAGCATTATCATGTTCGTCATTGGTTGCTCTGATGCACTATATCTTTTACAAAGCTCCCACAGGGACCAAAACCCTGGATAGTTCAATTGGTAAAATGTGTGTTATTATTTTATGATCACTTAAAAGTATGATTGTGCCATTCGGTTTTTCTTTGGAATACAGCGGCCCTAAATTTTTTAAGCACGATCTTTTTAGATTCCAACGTAGCTGTATTCTTTACTAAACCTAAGTGTGGGTATTATTCTGTACTTGGTGGTTAGATTAGATATTAATACCATGAATTCTTTTTCCAGCATCAGGAATTTGGCCACTATCATGCCTGTGTGAGCATGTGGTGGCATTTTTTTTACCCTTGTTCAACATCTGGGATTTGTTCCAGTGTTCTTATCTTCTGAACTTTTGTGATGCCATGCACCAATATCCTCGTCCAAGAGGGACAGTATTTAGTGGAGATTCTAATTGTTAGGTGATTGAGCTCCGTAAGTTTCTTGGGCTGGCAGGTTGCTACATTAATTAGTTCATGAAGTTTGCTACATGAAGGTAAAACTAAGAACTACTAGTATAGGGTTGCATTGTTCTCCTGGAGGTCTTGAGCATTTATTTTCTCTAAACTAGAATAGTTTAGAATCGTTGTTAGATTCAGAATATTATGTGAAGAAGTGGCATGGGAGGAAAAAAGAGGAAGACTAATTGTGTATCCGTGGTTTCGCGATCATTTGTATATTGATTTTTAAGTTTTCGTTTGCTTTGTTACTTCTGCAAGATATGTCAATCTACTATCGTTTGCTACCATGCGAACTTATCCTTATTGGCTTTTTGCCGAACTACTATGCTAACAAGTCATGTGGCATTCAGGTCCAGGCTGAATCCCTAAAGAAAAGGATCAATAATTCAAGTGAGGATTCAGAGGCCCACATGTATGGGAGGAAATCCCATTCATTAAGCACATTGAGGGATAATCCAAAAGTACGAAAGCTTGAGGAAATGCTTCAGGACACACTTCACAAAATATGCTATTTAAAGAGTGATAATATGCGTATGAAAAAGGTACAATATGGTTTTTGCATCTGCACAATTCATGACCGTAATTTATTACGTTTATTTTTATAAATGTAACTGTTACGAGACAAATTGAAGAAAAGAGGAAACAAAAAGTAGAGAGAGAGGGGCGAATGACCATGCCAAGTTTCAGTAGACCAAAATCATTGTGTGAACTCTTTGAACAGTTTTTGATGTATTTCTCTTCTTTCCATCTTTCTGTAGGAGTTGCCAGTTGCTTTCATCACGTTCAGGTCACGGTTGGGTGCAGCGTTAGCCGCACAGTCACAACAGAACCCTAATCCATTGTTGTGGATTACATCACCTGCTCCGGAACCAGGGGATGTACTATGGAGTAACTTGGCCATTCGTTATAGACTTCTGCCACTTTATGAGATCATTGTCTTTTTGGCGGCATCACTTCTTACAGTGTTCTTCGCCATTCCAGTCACAGCTGTTCAAGGAATTGCAAAATTTGAAAAACTAAGAAAATGGTTCCCACCTGCTATGGCTTTGCAGTTAATGTAAGATTTATCACCTCTAAATGTTCAAAGGTCATGTTTATATCCTTAGAATATATTGAATTTCACAGTACTCATAGATCAGCGTATCAAAACAAATCATTATGTTTTTATCACCTGGAAAAGTGTTACAAGATCATTTCTATTGGAAATAACCAGTAAAATGATGGCTGTAATCCATTAAACTGTTCTTGTCTTAGTTTCTCCGTAGCTTTCTAGATGAAAGGACTATGTAGATTATTGCTTCATAATTAATCTTCCACGAAAGAGCAAAGATCTACCCCCTTTACCTGCACGCCTGTAACTTATTTTCAGAGTCTCAGCCAATTCTTACATACATGTTTACAGACAAGGAGATTTGAGAAATATTTTATATTCTACCCAAATATATATTACTGGGTCCATGTAAAGGTTGTGTGAGGAAATGTATTTAGACCATGTGTGCACCAAGTGAGAAGAATTTGAACATGTAAACATGTTGTATTAATCGTATTTTGGCTGGGAGTCGAAACATTTCACTTTTTTTCTTCCCATATCACGTTGGATTGTATTCCAATATAATAATAAAGCTCACTCGAGAAGGAGTTCTTGGCTTTTGGGTTTGGTTGAACCAACCATAGACCAAAATGGGAATAATAGCTACCTTTTCAGCCTATCTAGTTTCACGTGGGAACATTTACTCTTTCATTGATTTACTTTTAAAGTCTTCATATTGTCTTAAGAAGATCTGTAGAAACCAAAATTTCGAGAGTTTTGTGGAAGAATGTTCTTCAGGTGTATATGCTCTTCTAGTTGAGGTTGAACCAGGCGTCTCAAACTTTTGCCCTATTTAACCTTTCATACTCATTAGTTAGAGTGATATATTGGCATGCAAGGTGGATTTTTTTCTACAACTAAGTCCATTTTCATTCTCCTAGAATCTGGATATCTCCCTTGATAAGTTTGTGAAGTTTGTTGGTGCTCTTAAGCATGCCTATCTGATAGGGTTCTGTTGTAAGCCTTAAATTCTTTTTGGTTGTCATCTGACAGTTGCTGCTTTTATGCAGACCAGGATTGAGGTCCTTAGTGACAGGGTATCTGCCGAGTGTTATTCTGAGTTTGTCTATGTATGTCGTTCCCTTCTGCATGATTGGTATTGCTCAGTTGGCGGGTTTCGTGTCAAGAAGTGAAAAAGATATAAGAGCCTGCAATATGGTCTTCTATTTTCTTGTAGGCAATGTATTCTTCTTAAGCTTGTTATCGGGATCCTTACTTGATCAAATCGGGGAGTATTTTTCCCATCCTAAAGAAATCCCTAATCGGCTTGCAACTGCGGTCTCTGCACAAGTAAGAGAAAACGAGCTCTTTCATTCTTCTGGTAGCCATAATTGAGTCTGAACAACACATAAGAAGAAGTAGATAATTCTTTATTCTTTGTATTCACGCACTAAGTTGACCCGACAAAGTTGGGATGTATTTATTTCAATAAACTGCTAGTTTATATGGTGAATGTTGATCAAGTAATAAGTAATTCTTGTTTTCTGACAGGCAGACTTCTTTATGACTTATATTTTGACAAATGGGCTGTCTGGATTTTCTGTGGAGGCTCTCCAACCTGGATTGTTCACTTGGGATTTGATTAAATCTCACACATGGCAACGTGGAAAGCATGAAAATGCATATCTCTACTCTCTACCTTATTACCGAACTATTCCCTTCATTTCTGTTTGTTTGCTGATTGGCATGGTATATGCAGTAGTCTCTCCCTTGCTTCTCCCGTTTCTCGTTGGGTACTTCCTATTAGGATACCTTGTTTTTGTTAATCAGGTGAGATTTCTGTCAACATAATTTTATTTTAAGAAGGTTAGAAAGCTATGTCTGAATAACTAAGATCTTTGATCCTTTTTTCCAACTTATTATTAACCTCTACGGGTTATTTTCCGTTTGCCTCGTTTTATTGATATTGTTAATTTTCATGATTCTCCTATGTATAAAAGAAATCCATCTGTAATTGTTTTTCGAGTACTCGAATTAACTAAGTTTTATACGGTTATAAGTTGAGCAGACAGGAATCTGCTGTTGCATTAAGACATATGTTTCACATTTCTTTTCTTAACATTAAGGAAGAGTCCATGGTAGTTAACTCGTGCACGATGTATTGCTAGTGATTTGTGGGACAATATTTGTCAGTGATTGCTTGCATTCACGATTATTTGTTCTCTTTTTGATATACATGATCTCGCAGAATGTGTAAGAAGTATGACCCTATTTTCATCTTTTTTGTTGTCTAGTGAAACTGGATCTCCGTCAAGAAATTGGTTCTTTTAGGAACATTAAGTACTTTTTGAGTTTAACTATTACTTCATATCAATTTAAATATGTTAGAAAATCCATCTCTTCCGGGATTGTTAGTTTTCTGAGGTTTGACGCCGCCTTCTCTTCCTTTTGTTTGCTATGCCTTGTATGCTTTGCAGCCTGTGTGGTTCTGTAGCTGTAGTTCGGTTTTCAGCAGGTTACCTTTACCTTAAATCTGGATATAGGACTCCTTGAGGACCTGTCTGTGTGGATTTTGTTTTGTATGTTTTGATTCTGTGTAGCCTTGGAGATGTGTAAAGTCGCATTGAAATTGTGTGAATGGTTACTCCCACTGTCCTCAACCGATATTCTTATTTTATTATTATTATTATTATTTTTTGGCCCAAATAGTAGTTCACTCTCATATTCTTAAATTAATTAGTAAAAGATGTGATGTTCATGGTCAATAAATGAGGATATCAATTCGAAAAGAAAATGGTGTGCATTGTGCCTTCAATTCGCAAGACTGAATTATCTTTGAAAAGATACAGAAACATGTACATTGAAGATAGACCACATACGGAGAGTCTGAACAGGGAAGATTCGAAGAGGATGCATATTAAAGTCAAATCATGTCTGTGAGAATGATGTTTCATTTGCTAGAGATCACTGCTTGGAGGACAAAGATCTCCGTATTTAGTTGTTTTTTCTGTTGTGTTTTTTTGTTCCACCTTAACCATGATCACAAATTCATGTGATTCCAAAGTTGACAGGATCAAACGATGACCTATTTTTTCTTATATTGCAGATACAAGATGTTTATATTACTTCTTATGAGACATGTGGTCAGTACTGGCCATGCATTCATAACTATATTGTTGTTGCCATCGTGCTTATGCAAATAACGATGGTTGGTCTTTTTGGACTAAAGTCGAAGCCCTCAGCCTCCATCTCGACCATTCTTCTGCTTATTCTCACTATTATTTTCAATGAATATTGCAAAAGGCGATTTTCTCCAACGTTTCACAACTATCCTGTGGAGGTACAGAACCATCTTTAGTCCTTTTCTGAAGCTTATTTTTTGTCGACTTTCGTCTCTGTTTGACACATGCCAATCCTGTTACCATAATGTGTATACATGGTGCATATTGTCTTGTGGAGTTGACTGGTATGTATTTGTGTAGTATATTAGTAAACCAACCTGCTACCGACTGAAACTATTGAAAATCAGAGTGTTCCACAAGAAGTGAGGAATTTTTTTCATTCAGCAATCTCACTAGAATTCATTAGTCTCTTTAGTTTCTGGAGTAAATGGTTTATAGGTTCTCCTTGTGTGACCAATGCCTCTTCCAGGTCCAACAGGATTGAAGAGATAATTACCTTAGTTCATATATAGTCTGACTGAAAAAGGGATGTACAAGCATTAGTCATATTACATTCCGCTGTCCACTGCGACAAAGTTCATTTTATAGTCAATCTGTCTTTTATGAAAATCTATTTCACTCTTTTTTTTTCTGTCTTGCATTGTTACCATACTGTTGAATGAGCTTTTGCTGTATTTTACATCTCAAAAAGGTCATCTTTATGTCCCTGGTCCTTCAAGACAAAATTTAGGGTTAGTGTCAGAAGGGGATAGTTTTCGTCCAAAAACAAGTAAACCACATAGCTCTTGAAGCTGTGAATTTGATGTAACTGTGCATACTCGTGGCTTTCTAGATTGGTTCTACTGTGCAATGCTTTATAACCGATGTCATTAGTATCTACTTTTCTATCTTTTCCCTTGCAGAATGGAGATTACTAATTCCCAATAGACCTTGGTCAATAGATAGTGTTTTAACTTTGCTACTCATCTTCATTTCAGGAAGCAAAGAAGAACGATGAATTTGATGAGCACCATGGTTTAGCAAATGAACACTGGCCGTTGGCAGCCAATGCTTATTGTCCTCCTTGCTTAAGGCCGCCGGGTTTTGAAGTTGAAAATACAGGCGTGATGGAGCCATTAATATATTCAACCTAAAGATTTTGTGAGACTTTTTCTTTTCCCCCTTTAAAAGAAAGAAAGATGATAGCTTAGGTATAACATTTCTTATACGATGGCACCGTATATTGTACATGTAGAGCCTACATTTTGAGGATTTTTGATACAGAAAGGAAATGCAGCTGGTGTGCCAAATGCAAATTGTGCTAACATATGTGCTACATAGACTCTGTTTTGTCAATTAGACGTTTTAAGAAATTTGCGTTGGATATTAAATTGATAATAGCAAATAATTTGAGATCTTGTTATTAAAACCTTCAGAGGTATGTATCTTCACAGGAAAAAAATGTGGTTCCTACTCAAAACTTTACTCTCGTCGGCAATCATATCTAATAGATTTTTCAATCATATCTAATAGATTTTTGGTTAGTTAACATTACCCTAACGTTTAAACTTTTTGTCAATTTCGTCCAATCGGCTCATTTTCCGTCGAAATTAACGGATTTCTGTTAGTTTTTTAATAAAATAATAATTTAAATACAAAAACAGATCAATAGTTTTTTAAAAATTTAAAATAACCCCTAAAATATATGAAAATAACAAAATAGTTTCTTTTTACTTTTTTATTTCATTTTTCTCTATTTTGTTCCATTTCTATTAACTACTTTTAATGACCATAAAAATATATTATATGAGTTTTAAAAAAATATTTATTTATTTTCAAATTTTACCGTAAAAATTAATCTTTGTAAAGTTGTAACACATGATTGTATTTATATAAGCATGTTAATCTTTTTAATAATATAATTTAGCAATAAAAAAGTATTTTTTTGATTTATTTTATTCTTCCTAACATAAAGATTAAAAACATTTATATGAAACTAATATTCCACATAAAAATAAAATATTAACTCAAATAAAAAATAATATATTAGTATAGTTTAGTGTATTAAAATTTAACTAGAGATAGTACATGGCATAATATTATTTATAAAAAAAATATTTATACTTATCAATGCGAGGATTAACATTTTGTAATAATTATTTGAGATATTAATATATCTTACTATAGAGGAATTCTTATTAGCTTATTCTATATGATTTTAGTTTAAAATAAATGAATGGAGGTAACAATATAGTAATAAGTTGTTGTGATAGAAAATAGGTTTTAGGTTCAAGAAGGAAAACTTATGTTTGGAGGATTTTTTTAAGGTTCTAATTATTTTATATTTTAGTTATTTTTAATGAATTATATTAACGCAAGTTATAGTCTCTTGAGTTAAATTGTAATACACTAAAATATATTAATATTTTTTTATTTGAGATAATATTTTATTTTATGTGGAATATTAGTTTCATTTAAATGTTTTTAATCTTTATGTTAGGAAGAAAATAAATCAGAAAAATAGTGTCTTAATTATTTTATATTTTTATTTATTCTTTTATGAATTATATTAATGTAAGTTATAGTCTCTTGAGTGAAATTGTAATACACTAAAATATATTAATATTTTTTTATTGAGCTAATATTTTATTTTTATGTAGAATATTAGTTTCATTTAAATGTTTTTAATCTTTATGTTAGGAAGAATAAAATAAATCAGAAAAATACTGTTTTTATTGCTAAACTATATTATTAAAAAGATTAACATGCTTATATAAATACAATCATGTGTTACAACTGTATAAAGATTAATTTTTACGGTAGAATTTGAAAATAAATAAATCTTTTTTTAAAACTCATATAATATACTTTTATGGTCATTAAAAGTAGTTGAGAAAAATAAAATAAAAAAGTAAAAAGGGACTATTTTGTTATTTTTATATATTTTAGAGGTTATTTTTAAAATTTTTAAAAATTACTGGGGTGCTTTTGTAATTTAATTTATTATTTTATTAAAAAACTAACGGAGATCCGTTAATTTAGACGGAAAATAGGCCGATTGGACGAAATTGGCAAAAATTTCAAACATTAAGGTAAAGTTGACTAACCAAAAATCTATTGGGTATAATTGACGATGAGGTCAAAGCTTTGGGTAGGAACGGCATTTTTTCCTATCTCCACATAATACAATTCAAGTCGAAGTGCCTTTTAGTACTTCTTTTTCACCTCGTTTTAGTAACTGAACTTAATAAAAGTAAACACTAGAAAATCTTAAATTGCCTAAAAGATAACGTTTGTCACACTAGAAAATAAACACTCAAGAAAGAGATGGTTATGATTTTTCCTTGCAGCTCTGATTTGGTGATTTTTAAAAGATAACATTACTTTGTTTAACTATCAAGTTTTAACAATTTTAATTGTATGAAATGGATTATTTTGTTGGGAGGGAAGGAATGCATAATTATCTTCAACTTGGATGCGTGTTTTGGCATTGTTGTATTGTCCCAAAACATGCTTTTCTACTTGTACTACTTCACTTCCCATAAGTAAAATTGGAAAGCTACTATGTAGACACTATCCATGCATATATAACTTGAAAAGCAGAATATTCAACTGAGAAAAAATTGCTAGCAAGTAAAATTGTTACACTAAATATTTAAAAGGGTATTTTCACCATCCCAAAATGATATTTAAAAGGGTATTTCGGACACAAAATGAGGTGAAAATTTGTCAATTCACATGTATTGAGTGAGTTACTCAACCATCTTATATCCTCCTATAAATACAATTTTAATATTGGTTTGGTGGTTTCTCCCTGATGTTCCACAATGTATTTTAGATTATGCAATGCTTATCCACGATTATAATCCAGTTTTTGTTTACAATTCAAGTCATTCTCATATAGCATCAACATTTCATCCATAATGTTTTTTTTTTTCTTAATTAGGGCTAAGTCAAGCAAGTAACTATGGCTAAGTAGTTGACAATCTTGATTTAAATGCCACAAGATATTCGAACCACAAGTTTTAAAAAATATCAACAAAATCAAAATGGTAGCTCGGCAGTCATCTCACAAATAATTCGATTCTATTTAGTGGATAATAATAATAATACTACTACTTCCCCAGTGGCCCGGCCTCCAGATAGGCAGTGGTACACACCTCCAGGTAGGCAAACAATTTGAGAGTACTCAAAAATGAATAATTAGTCAGTTCAGCTGGGGATGCCATTGACTTACGGTGCTTGTTTTCCACGTGAAACTCATCTTCATTTTGATTTCCCAACAAAAGAGTATTTTTTTTCTATATTTATTTTATTTCTTATAATATTTCAGTGTGAAATGTAAATTAATAAATAAATAAAAACTTTTGTAAGAGTAGTTTCTCTTCTCATAAAACGCTTAGAGCTAGCAGAATTGTATGTATGACGATGTCTCTCATGTGGTTTTTTATATCTCCAAAAAAAGAAAAGGAAAAAAAGGAACAGATATATATTTTTTTGAAATTTGATGATATTAAAGTTTTCAAGAAGATTATCAGCTCTATAAATCATGCATTGTAGAAAAATAACTACCATACTAAAAATCTCTCCATCAATTTCAATTCGATTAGAGATTTGAGACCCTCGATCCGTTTCTTATTTATTATACAGAAAATCCTCTTACGATGAATTTAATCCTGGAATCAGATTATTACATGCATAAGCGTGAATCTCATGAGACAGTAACCTTTTATTACATATCTCCAGGAAAGAGAAATTCAAGTCTTATGTTACAAATGAGATTAATATTTATGCTATTAAATTTAACCGTTTTGGTGGAATAAGCGATATAAATAATGTAATAAAAATAGAATGTACCTAAATCTGATTCATGTTGTGGATGGATTGATCTTTTAAGTGTTCTAACTAATGTAGTTTGTTCTCAACGATGAATTTCAAGCAATTTTTCATTTTTGTTAGTCTAAATATATTGACGTGCAAAAATTCATCATTCAGTCAATTTCATTTTTGGTTTAATCTATTGCGTGAGCAAAACGTCACCTCCTAGAAATACATATTCAAAGTCAAAACACAAAATGTTTTACCAAATTGTGGTTTTTTTTTTTTTTTTGGTCACATGTACTTAAAAAATTTAGTCAATTTTCCATTTCTTAAGAAACAAAAAATAAATAAAATCAGCGACTCTTGATACTAAATAAACATACTCTAAATGAGCTAGCGTTTCGCACGAAGGTGTGTAATTAATGACGAGCGTTTGGAAGTTGGAACCGACGGGGAAGGACATAGAGGTCATTTTGAGTTTTCTTTGTTGTGCTACAATTATATAGCAACCAGCTTGGCAACTGAAAAAGAAGCAAATTCTTTTGCCTCATCTCTCTCTCTCTCTCTCTCTCTCTCTCAAAAGTCTCGACGAAAAGAAAGCAAAACAAATCTCTGTTGAAATGGCTGAATTAGCTGACCACTTTGGAGCTCTCACCAAGGCTTTCACAGGTCTCTTCTTTGCCCACACACACACACACACACATTCGTTTTTCCTCCTCGTACATGAATTTAGAGCATTTCAATGACTAATAAGCATGAAGACTTGAATCATAATAACATTTCGACCACTATAACTCTTCCACCTACTTAGTATGATAGCTAGTATTTCTCACCTCCTTCATCGGCGGAGTGTTTACTCTTTCATCCCAAAAGTTGCTCCGCAAAACATTTCTTTTCCTTCTAATTCAGGATTGATTTCCGTTAATCAGTTTGTTTATATACTAAAGAGAGATTTTTTTTTAATTACTAGCTACCAAATATGCTATTCATTATTATACATTTTTGTGCAATACTTTTCCGTAGTTGGACTCAAAAACATTATCCATTATAATTTACTTCCTTTCTTTGTTTTTTTTTTCTCACTGCTTTTATTGACTCCTATGCGTTTCTTAATTTTGGAGAAATTTTAATTTACCACTATTATTATTTAATTTTGTAGGACTTGGTGTGGATGAACAGTCAATAATAGAAGTACTAGGGAAGTGGGATCCGGATCAAAAGCATTCTTTTAGGAAAAACAGTGTTGAAATTTTCAAGGAGGATGAACGTCAATTCCACCGATGGGATAATCGCCACTTTCACCGTCTCCACCATGAGTTCCTTCGTTTCAAGGTACGTACGTACATATCTTTCATTAATCAGTCTTTAATACTTTTGAAACTAACTTAAAGGGTTCAATAATATTATTTGATGGATCCTATAGGTTTGAAACCACCATTTTATAAAAAAAAAAAATGTTTAATTTGTTTGTACGATGAGTCATTGCAACTTTTTTTTTTTTCGATTAGTGCAGTATCAGTGGTATGTATATTTAAGCATAATTAATATATATATATATATATATATATATATATGAAAACAAGAAAAATGTAACACTCCATAGGAATTGTAAAATGGAGAGATTTGAAGGTTAGAGACGTCGTAATAGTTTAGAAAAAAATATCGTTAGAATTTGGTGGGGCTTGTTAATTATGCAGCCGCACTTATTTTTTATTTTTTATTTGTTTACCTGTTTTTTTCCTTTTTAATTAAAAAAATAATTCAGAGCTGTAACCATTTAATTGAAGTCTTTTATTTGTTTTTTTCTTTTTGTAAGAATAAAAGCTAACTTAATTATTCTATCAACAAATGAAAAGTTTCACTAAACTTTGAGTGACTTTATTAACTTTAAACCATCCATATACAATCTTATTTCGAAATATTTGAACCATACCAAATTATAGAGAACTACGAGAATACTATATCTAAATGTACAGTGTTTAATTTGAAAATTATCTTGCGAAGAAATGTTTTTTGTGAAGGGAGAAAAAAATAGGAAAAAAAAAAAAGCACGCGGTGGGAGTTTTGTATGTCAGAAAGAAATGAAGAAATGAGTTGAAGGGATTTTTTTTTTTTTCCCCTTTTTAATATGAGGGTTGATTTTGTTTGTTTCATTTTTCTCTTATAGGAGAAAACAATATTTTGTAACGACTTTGAGTAATTTCACACTAATTCAAAAGTATAATGCTCTAGTACACACAGACTTATTTCCCTATTTTATTGACCATTAATTATTAATATAAGTTATCCTTATTTTTTCCAAAAATATATATTGTTACAGGACGCAGTGGTACTTTGGACAATGCATCCTTGGGAAAGAGATGCCCGGCTGGTGAGAGAGGCAATCCAAATGGGCACACAATATGCAAATATCATTGTAGAAGTGGCATGCACTAGATCTTCAGATGAGCTTTTGGGAGCAAGAAAAGCCTATCATTCCCTGTTTGATCACTCAATTGAAGAGGACATCGCCTCCAAATTCCAAAGCCCTGACAAGATGGTAAAAGAGAGAAAAAAAGAAAAGAAAAGAAAAGAAATTTTCTCGTCTCAAAATGTTTTGTCTTTTTCGTTGTGTGATCATTTTGGGTGGTCAATATTGAACTTAATAATAAATTATATTAAAAACAATTTAAATTAGAAATTGTAATATGGACTATTTTTCTGAAGTGGGAAGTAATTAAATTCTTGTTGGATTTTAAAAGATTGCTAAAATAACTAATGTATACTTTTTTCGCGTTGTGCAGCTTTTGGTGGGATTAGTAAGTGCATACCGTTATGAAGGTCCCAAATTCAGTGAAGAATTGGCAAAATCTGAAGCCAAAACCCTGCATTCTCTCATAAAAAGTGCTGCTAATGATGAGAAGCTCATTGAGAAGGAAGAGATTATCAGTATACTGACCACAAGAAGCAAGGTTCATCTTCGGGCAATTTGCCAGCATTATCAAGAACTTAGTGGTACTGGTCTGGACGAGGTTAGTAATTTGATCAAGAGTTTCATGTCAAGTTGGCATTTAATTCCCTTTAAATTTGTTTTTAATTTTTGTTCTATCATTGCTTTATAATTAACAATCAATCGATTATGTCTCATTAGTCAAATGACATCGTTTCAAGAGTTAATGTAACGCAACTTCTTACATCTTCCTATTAAACTTTAGGAGGTTGGTGATCACACACTCATAAAACAAGTCATTCAATGTCTTTGCAACAAAGAAGCATACTTTTCTGAGGTAAGAAACTTAATTTCTTTGGCTCTTAATTTCATTTTCAGTTCAGTTTTCAAGTAATTAACATTTTTATTTCCAATAAACTCATATTTGTACGCCTTCCTTTATATAGGTTTTGGATGGGGCCATTAGAGGCATTGAGGATGGGAATTATGCAAAAGAATCTCTGACTAGGGTGATCGTAACCCGGGCAGATGCAGATTTGAAGGTTATTAAAGAAGTTTACAAAGAAAGATGTGGAGTTTCTCTACCTGATAAAATTGAAGAAATTGCAAACGGGAACTTCAAGAACTTTTTGCTCACTTTAATTGCAAGGGAAGAGTGACAAATAAACGTCAATGTTCTGTAGCTTTGTGCTTTGGTCATTAAACCATATCATTGTTTTTTTTTTTTTTTTTTCCTTCCCTTTCCTATATATATATATATATATATGTATTATCATTTGCTTGCTCTTGACGATCAAGTGATTCTTTTTATGGTATTCTGTTGAAAAACATGTAACCTTGTTAGCAGTTTCCTAGCTTTTCCTCTTTCTCTTCATTTACTTCTTGCTTACGGTGAATGATACGATGATATGTCTTATTTCTTAAATATAAAAGGACTAAATCAATAATTTATTTTTTTAAGAGATTTGTGGTGTAGCAGAGGATAATGATCTGAAGGTTATTTGCTTTTTTTTTTTGTTCTGTTAAATTTGGTTTAGGGACGGTAGAGATTACATAATTCATAAAGACAGCGTTATATGTAAATAGTTTGTTGTATTAAGGGCATTACTACAATCCCACCTTTCAAACATGAACATTATTATTCAAACAAAATCATTTTATTCAAATTTATTCTCCGTTTTCTTAATATACAAGGTATGATTCCGTCATTTCTAGGGTCCCGTCATTTTATTCAAAATCATTTCTAGGGTCCGTCATCAATTTTACTGTATGATTCCATTCAAATTTAATTTAATTAGTAAATATCATAATATATGCTATACTTATCAAATGATACATGTAAACTTACCAAAATAATTAAAACAATTATTTAAAGAAAGTTAAAGACTTTAAGATGGTAAATATTCTCATAAATTCTCAATAAATTGTTTTGGTTTAGGATTTGGTAAGCTAATATGTAATTGCACATTTGTTTATATAATTGATATGTCTTGTATTAATTTTTTTTTAATTTTTATAAAATAATTTTATGAAGCTAAAGGATATATAACTTTGCAAGTTTATGCATGTAAAATCATTTTGTATATTAAAGAAACATATCTCTACATGTATTAAAGGAGAGATTTCAATGAACACATGGCGCAAAAGTGGATAGGCTAATCCTCGTGTCAAAAAATTAGAGAGCCAAGTCCACGTGTCGCACCCACACGACTCCATCATTTAATGATAAATTTTTTAATGTAAAATGAAAAATTTATAAATAAAATTAAATTAACTAAGAAATTACCCCTTCACTGTAAATTTTATTAGAAAAAAAAGGAAAGGTGAAAAAAAAAATTAAAAAAGTTTTAAAAAAACCCCATAAGTTGACAAGCTATACAATATACATCTTGTGGCCCATTAACATATACTTATCACAGAAATTGTGCATTAAAAAAATGCAAAGCATATTGAGAAAAAAAAAACACATGCATAATAGTAATAAATCCAAAGATAATTAACTCAAATAAAAAATTTAAAATCAATTTGATGTTAAAAAAAAACACTAACCGCCATGATGAGGGAAACTAATTCACTGATCAATATTGATTTCTGTAGTTACGTGTTAAAGTATAACCAATAAATGGCATTGTTGATTATATTTAAGAAATATACAAAAAGGTGAAAACTATGTAACAAAGAAAAATAAATGATGTAAACACTACATTATAGGAAAAAAAATGTACGAATAAACTTATAAAGAAACATTACAAAAGGGAGAGTTTACGAAAAGAAATAATGAGAAAACTTCTTTTTAGCGCGAGAGTTTAAAAGATATGAAACGAGTATATATATTTAGAGAATATTTAAACAATATAAAAACCATAAAACAACAAAATAAAAAAAGATGAACAATAAGTTATATTGGATGATTTAAAAAATTGAATATTATTCTAAATATGCTTAAAATAACAAAACAAATCGACATTAAAAATTACACGATTGTAATTTATATCATTAAATATGTGTGTGTGTGTGTGTACTTATATCACTCCTTCGGGTTTGTCATATAATCGTAAAATTGTTAAACTCATATATATCTTGAACAACCCACACAACGCGTGGGGCAAATACTAGTATTACATATAAAACTTACTAGTACTATGCCGTGCCAAAAATATAAAAACACTTGCATTGATTAAAATATAATTTTGATAACTCAAATAATACTTGCATTGATTAAAATACAATTTTGATAACTTAAATGTTATTAATATTGATCTTTTTTAGAAAAGTAGACCTTAACTTTTTTGTGATTTTTTTTTTGTATTGCATATTTGATTAGTGCGTTTCACATGTCAATTATCGTCGCGGCACTATTGCATCAATCTCAAAATTAGCATTATTTTGACAATGTTATTTTCTTAGACCAAAATAATTTTTCTATCTTTGATTTATTTTTTAATACATTTTTTGGCTTTGTGTATCAAAATTTTAATTAAGATTATAACCAGACGCATTTTTTGAAATTGATGTTTAATTAAATTATGTGGAAACTATATTAAATAATAAAAGACATAGATCACTCGATAAAAAAAAGTTGCACAACTAGTTAAGCAACATTGTACACATTCAAACGAAATAAGAAATGGTACAAATAATAAAAACTGAGAAAGAGGATGGAATCTTGAAGAAGAAGGAACTAGCCATCGAAACTTTCTGTCAATTTTCCTCTAATTTTCTTAATGCACAGAATGAATCCTTCGAGCTCTATTTATACTACTCTAATCAAAGATTTTGCTAATGACAATTTCAGTACAAATCTAGAATGTTCACAGCATCTAATCAAAGATTATTTACAACAGAAGAACTTAGCAAATCTTCAAGTTGATTCAGCGAGGTTCTTGATCCTTCCATTTCTTAACTGAATCTGCCAACTCAGACAACTTGCATTTGGCGATTGAGCAGAAGGCGTGTAGGTGACAAAGGCTTGGCCGTCGAATTGTCATTTGTTGCTTCTGACTTCTTGCTGAAGTTTACTTTGTGCAAATATTTCAACATCCCCCCCACCCCCCCAAGCTCAGCCGGGGAAGGTACCCACATGCTGAGGTTGGACATAATCTGATGAATTACAGAAGGAGAAAGACGCTTTGTGAAGAAATCAACCAAATTTTCTTGAGAGGAAACGTGTAAAGGTTCAATCAAACTAGACATAAACTGCTCCCGGATAACATGGCAGTCAATTTCAATGTGTTTAGTTCTCTCATGGAAGACGAGACTATTTGTAATGTATAAAGCTGCTTGGTTATCACAGTGAAACGGTATAGGCAATGAGATTGGAATAGCTAGATCATGAGGAATATAACTAATCCATCGTAACTCACGAGCAGCAAAGGCCATGGCTTGATATTCTGATTCAGCAGTGGAGCAAGAGATGGTTCCTTGTTTCTTTGTCTTCTAGGAAATCAAGTTGAGGCCAAGGAAAATGCAATAGCCCCTCAAAGATCTTCTGCTAATCTTACATGTACCCCCAGTCCGCATTACTGTAAGCAGTGTGAGAGAAACTGGACTGCTGTGAGTAGAATAAACCGCTTTGAGGACAACCTGAAAGGTATCATAATACATGGACTGCTACTTGCCAGTGAGATTCACGAGGCAAATGTACAAACTGGCCCAATTGCTGCACTGAGTGTGTTATGTCTGGTCTTGTGTAGTTGAGGTATAGTAATCTCCCATCAAGTCTCCTATAGCGAGTTGGATCACCATACAGAGGTGTTGGATCCTTAGATTCCTTAGGAAAACACAAATCCTTGGGCAATGGGATGTCTGTTGGTGTACAATCCAGCATCCTAGCATCCCTGAGAAGATCAACAACATATTTGTTTTGGCCAATGAAAATCCCTTCTATAGACCTAGCTAGCTCCATCCCAAGGAAATCCTGTGATGATCCAAGATCCTTAATGGTGAACTTTGCATCCAAATATTGTTTAAACTTGATCACTTCATGTTCACTAGATCCAGTGACCAAAATGTCATCAACATAGACCAGTAAAAACATACTAATATGATCCTGGTTGAAAATGGAAAGACAGTGATCATTGGGAGATTGTTTGAAACCATAAGTCACCAATGCATCTATTAAGGCGTGTTCCACATTCGAGAAGCCTGTTTCAGACCATATATGGACTTCTTCAATCTGCAAACTTGCCCTTTCTGAGCTGATGCATATCCAGGAGGTGGCAGCATGTATACTTCTTCATCCAAGGAACCATGAAGGAACGCATTATTGACGTCCATATACTGTAAACACCATCCTTTTCATGTAGCAATTGCTATCAAAATCCTCATTGTCACAGTCTTGGCAAATGATGAGAAAATTTCAGTGAAATCTTCCCCTTCCACATGAGTTTATCCCTTGGCAGCCAATTTCACTTTGTACCTATCAATGGTACCATCAGGTTTACATTTGATCTTGTAAACCCATTTGCAACCCCCTGCGTTCTTTCCAAGAGGTAAGATAGTTAGTTCCCAAGTATCATTTGCTTCCAAAGTCTGCAACTCAACTTACATGGCTTCTAGCCATTTCTCCTTTATTCTAGCATGATTATAAGTAGAGGTTTCCTGAATATCAGATATGTTGGCCAAATGCACATGTGCACCGGAAAAGAAACAATCAGGAGGCAAAGAAACAGACTTAGCAACATTAGAACAATGAGTAGAAGTAGTTCTAACAAAATCTGACAACCCTCTTGGAACTTTGATCACTCTAGTGGATCATCTAATAACAGGCTGAGAGTCAAGAGTGGGAGGCTGAAAAGTGGTGTCACGAAATGGATCAGACTATGGATCACTGAAAGAAAGAGAATATGAACTAGAATGATCATCAATATTAGACTCAGGAATGTGATCACAAGAAGGATTACGATTTTTTGTATAATTCTGTGGAGTAGAAGTAGAATCAACCAGGGTTTCATGATCTAAAACATCATCATTGAGATTGATGCATGGAAGAGGTAATGAAGGATCCTTTGAGGATTGATAAGGAAACACATTTTCATGAAATATTACATCCCTGGAAACTATGATCTTGTGAAGAGAAGGAAAACAAATTTTGTAACCCTTTCTGATGAGAATGATAACCCACAAAAATCCCTATATGGGATCTAGCATCAAACTAATC